GTGCAGGCCTGCTGTGTGGAAACATGAAGTACATTTATAAATGAGGAGGTGAGACCATGCCCAAGACAAACATTCAGTTCTGAAGACAAGAGGAAAAGGGAGAACCAGTATATGGAAATGAAAAAAGGTTATACTGTGGGAGTTGTCGCTGCTTTGTAAAGGGTAGCTAGGTAACTAAGAAAGTGCTTTTTAGAAACTACCATTCCTAACACGATTCTGTGAGATCCTCCAGTGTTAGCAGTGCTGCAGTCAGAGAACCACACAATCGCAGGGTGGTTGAGGTTGGAGGGCACCTCTGGAGGTCGTCTGGTCCAGCCCCTCTGCTCAAGCAGGGCCATCGAGAGCCAGTTACCCAGGAACATGAATGGTCCTTCTGTAAACTGCATCTTCTATCTGCTGTCACTGCAGCCCAAACATGATTAGATTCAGTGCTGATCAGGCTTACCTGACCTAGTACTCCAGCAAAAGAAACAGAAGCAGCTGGCAGGGCCTTTTGGCTGAGATTTCCAGTGTTGCCAGTTACTTCAAGCAACAGTGAGAACATTTTCCTGGTGTAGACAGGGTCATTGTTATGTTTTCAGAAGGGCTATTTTTATACAGTGACTCATGTTAACGCCTGTTCTGATTTGGTGTTCTTCCATCTTCTCTAAAAATGCAGCAGGACTACTGCATACCCAGTATAATTTCACTAACTTTTGGATTTTGTCACTAAGTGAGAGTTTGGCCATAGAGTTGAAAATCGATGGTGACCCCAGTCACACTGTGGGTTTCCTTTGGCAAGGAAGCTGGCATAGGTACTTCTGCTCCGTTGACTCCACGTTGCTGTTCTCAGTTGTTTCAATGCAAGGTATTATAGGGGTGGCTCCACAGAAACTGTTCTTAACTATTTCACTGCAACCATTAACATTTGGAAGAACAAACAAATATAAAAATTAACAACCTTGAGTTTTGCAGGGGTTGTTTGGGTTGATTTTTTTTTTTTTTTTTGAGGACACTTTTAAACTTATGCTCTCCTTTCATTTTAGATATCCAGACTAAGTGGCTGTGTTATAAGGGTAGGAATAAGCTCTGGATGTAGGTGGGAGAGGAACTTCTTAACCCCATGAAAAAGTGCTTGGTGTCACTCTACCCTGAAATAAAAACATGCACTCTTAGGTCTTGCACTACTGTTGTGGAAACCAATAGTTGTGTTTAACGCATTGAAAGATTTGTTTCTAGCTAGTACATGTGTTCATGTGAAAGGGGTGGGGACTGTAGAGCTTAAATCTTTTCCGTTAAAGCACAGCTCTGTCTCATGGGCAGCAAGGGAATGGTCTTCTGAACTGAGCTGAAATAAGCCAGCTAGGACCTCCCCAGAGGGACCAACCTCATGCTGTACTTGCTACTTCATTGTAGATGTGAGGCACTTCCCAGTCTCTCCTATTTCTCCCTCTTTACGTGAGGTCTCTGCTGAGCTGTACTTCTGGTGGCACATGACACATGGTGTGTAACTCATCCTACGTGCTGGTCTGGAGGCTGTGGGTGTCCTGGTGCCAGGCCCTTGAAGCTTCTGGCATCCCAGTCATACTGGTTGATATGTGGGAACGGAACCAGACAGACAGAAGGTGTATGGGGACACAGAAAGGAGGAGTGGAAATACATTAAGGTTTTCTTGGTAGGAGCAGCCACAGAGGTTGGAACTGTTGAAACTACGTTTGTGAAGGTTGGTCTCTTGTGGAGGTTGGTGCCTCTGCAAGGTATTGTCTTCCTCCTGCACGCACTGGGACCTTCCTACTGGACAAATTGGTCAGAAAGCTTGGTGAGGTCAGCGTTGGCACAACAGCCTGTCCAGAGGCTGGACATGTACCTGTTTATAGCTTTTTATTGAAAAAGCCCATTGCTCCTGCTTTTATTTTCAGCACTAATTAGGAAAGCAAGCCCAAAGCAGAAGGGCTGACAACATATAAATGTTGACTTCTTATAGCAGAGTTCAAAATGAAAATTTAACACTTGCTGTAGTTTTATGGTGACTTTTTCTACCACGGTAGTTACAGTTAAATAACCTGTGTTTTGATCTGGTGAATACTGGGTGGCTTTCTGGATGGTGAGATGTTTGTTGAGCCTGAAACTGAAGGTCACTAGTCGAGAAATCAGCAGAGTAGTAACAGAAAGTCTTTGCTAACTCCTTTTTAGCAAACCTCAAAGAATTTCTCTTGGCATTTTTGTTGGATCCTGAAAATACATTTGAAGACTTCTGGTGGAGGGAAGATGAGTCTCAGACTTTTAACAGGGACCTGACCCGGTATAGGGTTTTCATCAGCCCTGACATCTGTGGGTCATTAAGACTTAGTACAGCACAAAAGACTGAAAAGGCATTGTGGAGTTGAGCGCTCACGTGAGGAATAATGCATGTCTGGCTGACTTTCTGTACAGGTTAGGAACAACCTGAATTTTTAACTGGGAAAACTTCTCATCAGTGGTTTTTAAAAAGGGACTGCTACTTTCAGTTTAAGCAAGTTCCTTTTCTCAAGGTGGAAGATCATCCTTCATTCTTGAATAATCATTTGGCTGAATGGAAATGGAAAGCCTGTTGTGAGGAAAATTGATTACAGAGAAAAATGAAAAGTTAATCATGCAAGAATGAGTAATGTTAGAACCTGTGATCACGTTGCTTTATTTTATAGTGGTATTGTCTGCAGGTCCTGTAGCATTGGTGAAGTGCTACTGATCAGCAAGTAGTTTTGTATAACATAAGCAAATGAAGAAGATGGGGAAAGAAGGATTCAATTTCTATTAATAGCTTCCTGTTTAATGCACTTATCTCAGTTATGTACCTTGTAAAATGAAACTGGTAGTAGTACCGCGTCTTGGAGTTTCACTCTTCCACTGTTCAACTGGCATTGAATCAATATATAGTCAGCTTGCATTTGGAAGGTTATTTGTGCAATGAAAATAACTTACCTTAATCCTTCATTCAAAAGTAAACTTTATACAATTTTTCTAGCACTCAACTCATTCATCAGATGTCAAGGAGAAAATGAAGTTTTATGCCTTTGCCATCACTGGACTGGAGCAATTAGGCTGGTGGCCATGAATATGAAAGCTCCTATTTCTTGTCCTGTGAGTGCAGAAAAAGTTGTTCTTGACAGTGTCTGCATTATCCTGTTGGCGGTTAAACACATCTGCGCATTCTTGTGACATATTTTGAATAAAGGGGAAATAATGAAAAACATGTTTGGAATATTTCATCACATGCCACTATCTTCTTCTTCTCGAGTGCTGGCTGAAGTTGTTTGTGGTTATAGCACAGCTGGGCACTTATCTGAATACTTAGACTGCTTAGATTTACTTTTATTTTGACTGCATTTTTTTGACTTCTCTTTTCCAAAACTAAACCCTGATAAAAAATAAGAGGGAGAGGGGACCATAGCAAGTTCTGAGCTCCTCACTCGGTTTGTTAACCCAAAGAGATACTACAAAGCTGAACCCCAAGCGATGCCAAGCCTATTACCCTTATGTCAGAATTGAGAACAAGAATCAGTGTAAACTACTACTTCTACTTTTTCATTGATGCTCCCATGATTTAGGCTGAATAGTTATATGGTGTATTTCAGTAACTGCAGCATATTTGCAAGAAAACAATTGATTTTTGTGGTGAATGACAACAATGAAATTGATTGCATTAGACACTCCAGGTCAGATTGAATCACTGTGTTTGCCCGTCTCTGTTGTTTGTACATGCCTGTATATATGCATGAGCTTATCCAAACATCTGTAATAAGAGAAGATTAAAAAGTTTCTTATCTTCCACATTGCATAGACCAAATTAATTTTGTAGAATACAAGATATTTACTGTCCTAATCTCATGGCAGATAGTGTTATATGAAAATTGCTCATGTTGTGTGAAAGAGAATTATACTATGCATATGCTTTCATAATTAGCTGAGAAATGCTTTAACAAAAAAAAAATTAAGCAGTGATACAATCCACAAGTTTTCCCTCATTGCACACCCTGATTACAATTTTAACAGCATTTGAACTAGTGACTTATACACTATGAAATCCAGTATGAAGTGAAGTTGGAAAGAAATGCTTTTTCCTGGCCAGGAATTTTTTTTTTTTTTTTTTTTTTAAATGTGGTTTAATGATCAGTTTAGGCCAATCTCCCACCCTTCCCTGCAGCACAGCTGCACTTTCCTGCTGTTCCTCTGTGTTGGTGCAAGCAATCATGCGACTGGCAAGGCCTCACCAGCCTGAATATTTTTCTAACCTGCAAGGTTAGAGCCACATCACATCAGCAATCTGCTCCTCTCAATGTATGGCAACACTTTGCTGACACAAGGTAGGGAACAGTAACACATGGCTGTGTACCACCAGAGGAGTGGGAATGCCTTTTGCAGTCTGGTTTTAGATTAATGAATATCAACTTTCCCCTCACTTGCAAATTTTCATTATTCCCTTCTTTGAGCAGACCATCTCCACGATGTGATGGAGTGGGCAGTATGGCAATGGGTGCTGTTAGAGTGGTGGGGTGCTCATTGTAAGAGCAAAAGATACACTTTATTTTAGTGGTTGTGGTGTTAGGGTACTGCCCATGTTCTGCATTAGCTGAGAGCCTTCGAGGAGACACTGGGTGACTAAATGATTCTGTACTTTCCTGCTGGGGCTTTGTCTCTAGATTCGTTTTTCTTCCCCTACCTCAGGTCATCATCAGCACCTTTTCCTCTTGGATACTGGGTAAGTGGCTTCATGCTCAGCCACTGCCACCAGGTCAGCTGTTGTCAAAAAACATCTTGAGACTGGAGCTAATGTTTCTTTCCTTTTCAAAAGACAAAATGCATTTATGATAGTGTGATGCTTCTGGCTCTGAGTAAAAAGAAATTAGGATGTTGGTGTTTGGATCATGTTAAACCCCAGCCATGCAAGACCACCAAACTGACAACAGCTCTTAAATACTGTGACAATAGAAGCAAATATTATTCAATAAATCTTTGCCTTTTTTTTTTTTTTCCTCCTACAGGAATATTTTTACCCGAAATACTTGGGTGAGTTGCAGCTTTTACTTTCACTTTGTGGCACTAACACTGGAGCTTGTCACAGCTGAAGTCTCTGCTAAGGAAAGTGATGGAAATCTGACTGCAATATATATGCATTGCTAACTTTTAAGATAAACTGTACATTCCTTATGTGATTTTGAAGTGTGTTTTTTACTTATGTATACACTTGCATACAGAGATCCTTTTTGTGTTTTCTGCATGTTAAAGTATTGATGAGAAATTTATATCTGTAGCTTGCAGCATTGGGAAATAATTTGAAGTCTTCTACATTTTCCCTTTTTAATTTAGCTATTAACTAATTTTTTTTTTAAAAAAAAAAAAAAAAAGTTCTTTTACCAATTGAACCGCTGGTTTATTCTGTTGACTGTATCATAGTCATAGCATGTTGTTTTCTATTTGTGTTTTATACGTAGTACTTAAGATCGCAAATGCCAACAGTTTGAGAAAACTCCATGTGCTTTTTAGATTTTTTAAAAGAGATTTAGTAGGTCAAATTTGAGTAGCTACTAACATCCTTTTAGAGTCATAGTAGCATCTGGTTAAGTGATCAGCCTCGTCAGATGGCTTATAACTCGACTGTACATCAGAGCTAAAAAATGTTAATGAACTTAAGAATTTTAAGGCATCTGGGAGATTATAATATTACATAGATTTTGCATCCACCCTCCAAAGCCTTATTTAATGAATAAGTAGGCCAGGTATCATTTTACGTATTTTGAACAGCTGCCATGTCATCATTATAATAATAACAACAATTTCATTTTCTGTTCTTCAGCTTGTATTCAGAAATATGGGTCGCCGTATACAAGAAGTCCAGATTTCCTTACATGCGTTCATAGTAAGCATTTTTGGTTTGTATATTGTAGTTAAATGTTCTCTCATTCTACCTGAAGGAGTGGGACCCTCTCAGCCATCTCCATTTTTGATAGTATTTTAATACCGGCCTTCCTATTCTCTAGGCTTGAGACTCCCTATTGCTTGTCCCATCTGAGCGGGAAAACAAGACCTCTTCCCTTTTATAACCTATTGCCACCTTGCTGTCAGTTCGGTGCTTTGGTATTTTATGATGCAGGATGTTTCTTTTCCACCAGTTTCCTAGGGTCTGAATAATCTGAGAAGCAAGAGGGACAAGAAGTAGGATTTACCTACTTCTTGTAGAAAAGGATTTACCTTTTCTCTTGAATACCTTGAGAAAAGGATTTACCTTTTCTCTTGAATACTGACTTTGTCTCACCCCTGTTAAGAAAACTTTTAAAAAGCTTAAAGTCAAACCCAGGCTTGTGTCAGACTTCTTTACATTAAGGGGATCAGTTTCACACATTGCATGACTGCGCTTTAAATATTGCAACCTGCAAAAATTCAAATCAGTTTGGAAGTCAGATTGATATCTGTGTAGAGGGAGAAGGGGCATTTGTTCATCACTAACGAGGTCAGAATTTAATGAACTTTTCTAATACCTTTGCAGTTCCCTCTTGAAGCATAGTATTGCTAAAAGTCTAAAGCTGCAAATATTCTAAATATGTTCTGGGAGCAGATGAGTTCAAATGGAGAGAAAAACACATATGTCTTATTGTGATCAAGTTTGATTAGTCATTGTTCATACCAGTGCTACCAAAGCAGGATCAGAATTTAGTTGACCTTTCATGTCTATAAACTGCATTACAGCAACGTTTTTTGAAGAGTGAATTCCAAGGCTAATAAGCGAATGTGAAGACTTGCCCTCATGTAATGCAGCAGTATCACTTAAGGATGTTGGAGTCCTCTGAACTGGGAATTCTTGGACCTGTGGGTCCCATGTTGGCTGTGGTATGCCAGCCGATTCAAAGTGGGACGTGACCCTGAATGTTTCCTTTTGCTCACATGTGTGGCACAGCAAAGAAGGAGGAGCTTCTGCTGAAAATGGTGGTACCAACTGGGAACACTTGTTGCAAACAAATAATCAGTGTTTCAGAAATGCAAGTCTGAAGGGTAGTGATAAAAAAATCTGAAAATAATAAAAGCTGAATGATTGGTTTCAGGGACTTTTGCCCATTGCAGATGGAGTGGTTTGGAAAGAAAATGATAATATTTTCCCCCATTAAAATATTAAAATATTTCTAAATGGCTGAGTTTTGGCTTACTATTGTCAATTCACAGGAGAAGTAATGGAGAAGGAGCCTGAAACACGCTTGGAAGAATGACAGGCCAATTCCAGTGTGCCTCTTAATTTTTCACACATGCTGCCAAAAGGCTGTGTAGCTCTGTGGCGTTGTGCTGGCAAGATGCATTTAAATTTTGTTTCTTACAGTCTTTCTCCTCTCAAAACAAGGTAGTCCAAGGCACTTTTAATCTGACATACAAAGACATTGCACAATCTAAGGGCTGGAGGGTGATTAACTAGACTAGTTTAACTAGAAATAAAGTACAAATTTTAACTGTGACAGTGATTAGACAGGTTAGCAGTGTATTTGAGGATTCTCAGTTTCATAAGATCTTTGGATCAGGGTTATCGGCTCCGGATTCAGAGAAGTAAATGCAGGTGTTTCCAGCAGAGGTGCCTACATGAGCAGTGTTCCCATCACAGTCAGTGGAGAGTTAATCTGCAGTCAGTGGTTCTAGAGGGGTTCCACTGACCAAACTGTGTGCTCTGGGGAGAGCTGAATCATTCTACAGACTCAGTTTATTGTACTGACCAGATTCCACTGACAGCAATGAGAATTCAAGACAACTGCTTTGCAGATAGATGCTTAGCTTACACACAGATACCTTTACTTTGGTCTGCAGATATGTATCTTTTTCTGAAAGAGATCCTGTAGGTCAAATAGGGATTAGGGATTTGGTTATGCAAGAGTTTGGAAAACTCTACAGAATTTTTTGGAAGTGAAACTATATGTGGCCTTGAAAAACAGAATGGGATTTTTGTTAGGTTGTGTGTGTGTCTCCTTTTCAATAGCGAGTGTCATAATCTTCACAAACTAACATCTTCCCAATGAAGTTTTAATTAGCACCATTTTGTGAATATCAAAAAATAAATTCACAGTACAATGAACTGGAAGCAGCAGTCAGTGTAGTTAGGTAAAGCCTTGTTTCCATACAGACTTCAAAAATGGAACTGGTAGTTCTATTCTCTGCCCTTAGAAGCTGTATGTGTGCTATCAGACATACTTCAAAGCACACAAAAAGGTCATACTCTTCTTGTCTTTTAAAAGCTTAACTAAAATCTGTCATGTAAATGAATGGAAACAAAAGCTCCATGTTCTCTTGCAACAGTTTAAATCAGGAGAACCGTCTACAAAGTTGGCAGAATTACACAGCTGTGAAGCCACCAGGAGAGTATAAGACTGTCTCATGTTCTCAGGCTCTCATAAGAGGAGCAAACTATTGACACGGCGTTGATACGATAGAAATGTTCATGTTTATTCCTGCCATTTACCAAGGGTTGTGATATGGTGGTATTCTGCTGGGCAGTGTTATTTCCATCTGGCTCTTCAAGGCACATCAGAATCCAATTTGAGACAAAGAATCAGAAACTTGAGGATACACTAGAGAAGTCACGCATAGCCTTGTTGATTTGTTTGGCTTATCAAGTGACTTTGAAAACACTGCCATGTCTGGGAGGCTTAGTTTGTGCTGCTTCAGAAAAACAGACTTGGCTTACTATACCTAAACCATTCTGTTTACTGTATACTAATTCTGGTCTATCTAGGAAAAGAAACATGCTGATCAGAGCTGCTCCATCGTGGCTTATCTCCACCTTAACCTGGCCACTCCTTCCCTAACTCTTCCACCTCCAACAGTGTGTTGACTGGGCAGTGACTTACCGGGAGGTGTTCTGGCAGGTGGATGTTCAGACAGCCCATGTAGCTGTATTTTCTTTTGTGTGGCCTGGCCTCTACCTGGCTTTGCCCCAGCTCTGCACAGCTGGAGTGGCAAGGAGGAAAGATAATTAGGCCTTGTTTGCAGTGTGTGGTTTTTTATTTTTGTGAGGCCCTTAGGATTGTGTACCCATGCTTTTCCTGTAGAGTGTTCTCAGGCACTAGCTTCTGAGCATGATAATGAAATAATGAAAATCATCACTTCTTTGGCCAAGTGACACTCTGTTCCTAATCAGCCCTCTAGCTCCCTCCTCCCTTGTTCATGATGGAACACCTTGCTTATCTTCTCAATGGCATCGCCCTAGCTAGAGGTTGAAGCCATGCTGCTTACAAAGGAGAACTCAAGGTGAGAGAGTGGATGGAACCAGTGTTTTGGCTGTGTTTTGTTAGAGGTGGATGAAATCACAACTTGAAATGGAATTTCTTTCAGTTGTGGAGATTTGTGACCTTTATGACCTTTTATAGACCTCCTTTCATGGCTTCATCTTTTTTTGTCCTGCTTGATTCAGCCCACTATATTTAATGACAGCATTGCCAATCCTCTGCTGATTTCTGGCACCCGTTAGTCCTCTTCAGAAGAAGAGTGGAATCTTTATTATAAACATATTCATAGTGGACCTGTATGCTTATCATAGTTTTTGAACTTGCACTAGGCAGCTCTTACGTCTAAAGCTCAATTAAATACCCTACAGAGAAAGGAGTGGCAAAGAATTTTATATTGTACAATGTGATAAATGTAAAGAAGTATGAAATTATTACTCCATGTTAATCTGAATAACCTGCAACACTGTGTACATCTACCTTCAGTCTTCAGGTAATTCAGTGTGCAGTGCAGCCCAAGAATCTGACGATTTTTTTTTGATAACTATAGCAAACACAAATACTATCCAACATTTGAGCATATGCTTTTGCCTTATTTTTATCTCTAACATAGCACCAATCTTAATAGCTGTCCAAAAGGCAAGTCCATAAGGCAGCAGGGCAAACTGAAACATAGGAGGTTCCGCCTGAACATTCAGGAAACACTTTTTCACTGTGAGGGTGACCCAGCACTGGCAGAGGTTGCCCAGAGAGGCTGTGGTCTCTGTCCCTGAAGGTATTCAACGGCTGTCTGGATATGGTCCTGGGCAACCCTGGGCAACTGGCTTTTGGTGGATCTGCTTGAGCAGGGGAGGTTGGACTCCAGAGGTGTCTGCCAAACTCAACCAGTCTGTGATTACTGAGATTCAAATCTAAGGCAGACTGTGCAAACAAAAATGCTGTTCAGTGCTTTATAAGCATCAGAGGGAGTTGCTTCTGCCTGCACTCACAGAAATGTTAACTTTTTTCCAAAGCAGCCTGTTGTGAAGGTGACTTTCAGGGTCACACAGAGGAAGTTAAGAAGAGATGTGTAGAAGCAGTATAATCCTGTCAAAAGTAGGCATTAATCCAGTTCTTAGCTTCTCTCAATTTGAGAAGTCTGATGGGGCTGCTATCCCCCTGCCAGAATATCATGAAGAGTTTGTTTCAAGTATCAGCAAGAGTCTGAACTGAATGTTGGTCTCCTCAATGTTGTTCTCAGCATACCAGTGTATGAAAAGGGGTCTTTGCTGCTGCTGCTCACTTAACGTGTACCCACTGAGCACCTTTTGCAGTGCAAATCTAGTATCACAGACCAAACTTGGTCTCCAGAGGGCTGTTGCTGATCATTTAAAGCACCTGTCTGGTCCACTTTTTGTAAACTCTTCCTTTTGTCTGGACTGAACTGGGTTTCTGCTGAGTTGTAAGGATGTGCTGCCAAGATTGTAGGGTTGCAGAAAGCATTGTTAATGACAGTAGTTTTTCCTTTAAAGACTGCTAGCTGGAGTTCCTCTATGATGCACCAAAAGAATTGTGCAGAATCACTGCTTTGTAGCTGTGCCACCCCAACTCTGGGAGCACAGCTGGTCAAATCCAGGAAGTTGCCATGTATGTTCATCAGAAGAGAAGCCTGGACGTCATGCATCTGTGTCACAGGACTTCCTTTTCCAATACATTCCATGTGCTGGAGGGTCCAGAGGACAGTGGGCCTGACGTTTAACTGGCTCCAGTGTAGGTGGTCAGTCCCATTGTGAATATACATTCATTCAGGTTTGCTAAGACTCTGGTCAGGTTCAGATGTTCTTTGTAGAAGGTCTCATCCATGGCAGACTGGACTGTGACTAAAGCTTACCCAAGCGCAGAAGGTCTGCAGAAGTGCCCTGTCTCTCCTGAACCCCAGTGCTGGGAGGGATGTGTAAACAGAAGGCCCTTTGACGGGGTGGCCTTTCCCGTCTACTGAATGAGCTTCTGCACTGCTCCTTCTGGTTAAGGTTGTGAAAATGGTTAACACGTTTATGTTTTTTGAAGATCACTGATCTAGAACGCTGGTATAACAGGTTACTACCACATGATAGCTACCAACTCATTTTTTATGGGGACAGGGGTATTCTCTCATCCTTCCTTTAGTTATTGCTGCAAAGCACTGTCCCTGCGTAGGTGAATTTGGACAGGTGACTTGATAGTTTGATATTTGTTCCTCCAATCCTCCCCAAAGTAATGTGACTATTCTCTTGCTGGTTTTCTATGGGCAAAATCCATTGCCAGCTATTGGAACTTAACTTAAAAATCAGTGGCAGACTTTACTCTGTGTTGGCCCCATAGGAACATTGTGCTGTCTGTAAACTGGATTAGTGGTTTGCTATTCTTACACTGTTAACAGATTGGTATTTCTTTTTTATTCTCATTCTACATAATAGAAAACCCTAAGTTGGACAGCTCTGACAAAAATTTCAGATATAAACCTTTGCTAGCCACAAATCTATCAGCCCTCATAAAATCCTCAGTTGAACTACCAAAAGTAATTGAAGAGCACTCATCCTTCCTTGGGTACTTTAGTTGCTACTTACTTTTTCTCCAAAACCAGGGGGAGTAGAATTAACTTTCTTAAAAATAAGCTACTTGGAGTTGTTTGTTTCAGGATGTGCCCTTCAGATACGGGGGTGGTAGCTCACTCTCTTTTGCAATGAAATTAATTCCACTGCATGTGCTCTGCAAAATTCCTGGCACAGCTTATTCGGCATGTGAGCACTAAGAACTAGCTTCCAGTTTTGCCAGGTGTGAGTATTTCTGATAGTGATTCCCCATAACTTTTTAAGCTTCCTGATTTTTAATCAGAGTGAAACACCTGGTTGCAGTGACTTCAATGTATCGTTCTGTTCTGTTTTGGTTTTTTTATTCCTTATATAAATCAGATTTGCCAAACCAGTGTTCTCCTGATCCTTGTCACAAAGAGGGGACCATCAAATGTGAAGATCTGAAGGGGGACTTCTATTGTGAATGCAAGCATGGCTGGCAGGGAAAAACATGTGAAAAAGGTAATTGGGTTTCATTATCTTTTATACTCGTAACAAAGATGTATTGGGTTGTGCTATATTCCTGAATGGTCACTGATACTGTGCTGCACAATTCAAAAGTCACAGAACTGAACCTGGATTACACACTGCTCATGTTTTTACCCTTCTGTGAATCAGGTAACACTTTCACATCAACACTTTCATATGACTTTAATGGATCTCAGCTTTCTCTTGGCAAGGTAATCTAAGAAGTTACACTCCAACTTTCTGTCCCATCCCTCTGAAAGGGGTAGCAGAAATAGAGTTGTAGTGGCTTTTCAAGCGGAACTGTGAATCCTGATGTAACAAATCACAGACTGCAGAGCCAGAGGAGCTGGCCCATCTTCCTTTCTAGCATCCCTGCAACAGGACTTTTGACAGGCAGGTTGGGGTATGAGTCTGATAATGCACAAACTGATTACATTAGTCTGTTAAAGCCTCCTTGTCAGTAGGACCTTATTCTACATCTGCTTAATCCCACTGTGTGTTTCCATCACCTCCAAAGAGAATATTCAGGCAAAAACTATTTGTGGCAGAATTTCCAGGCCCCCAGAGGGCTTTCTCTATTCCTTTTTGAAATACTGAAGTTATCTTCTCTTCTCTTGCTTTCTGTTTTCCTGTTTCTCTTCTGCCTGCAAGGTCTCCTGTCAGGGCCGCTGCTTTTCTGCCTGCCAATGTTAAGTAATTGTTAGAAATTGCATTCAGCCAGTCCAGAACTGTAGCAACCAAGACAGCAGGAGACCCAGAGCCTTTCCTTCTCATGTAAATATTGTGGGGAGATTATAGAATCATTCACAGGTGGTTTATTTTAGCATTTGAGACAGTTGTCTGATCAGTATGCAGTCAGCTTTGAGAGCACAGCAACTGATCAGTCTGAAGCATATCCCCTCTTTTTCTTATAAAATGCCATGAAATGTGCTGTTGTACCCATCAGCTAACTCCAGAGACCTATATACAAGCAGGATATAATGAGCAGGTGGGGTAGATTGAGGGTAAAATCCAGGTTTTGCTGGATTAAATAGGCTTTTGCTGCTAAATTCAGTTTAGCTCACAATGCTCAACAGCTGTGAACTTACAGCTTTTTGCATTCTCCTGAGTTCTGTAGTAGTAAGGGTATATTGGTCTGGTTATAGCTTTCATCCTGAATTACTGGTCATAGTGTACTTTTAAAAGTTAGTTATAATATAAAATACATCAATTATAATTAGTTTGCTTCTGCAAACAAGCTTCAACTCAACAGTGACTATGATACTCTTCTGCATTCTCAGAGCTGTGAAGGAGATAGTTACATTTCCTTCTCTGTCTTGTTTTTATTAAATGAATTTGAGCTAATGTACTTTAAGTTTTTGAGTGAAATCTTTGTGCTTTTTGTAATCATTGCATTTCAGCTGTAACAGTGTTTCTTGTTTGGTCTTTCTCCTTCCCAACACCTATCCCACTCTCACCCTCCAGATTATTTGCAAGGGTGAAAAGCTGACTGTAACACTTTCTTTTGATGTAGATGTTGATGAATGCAGAGTGCAGAATGGTGGCTGTAACCAGCTGTGCCTCAACCAGCTAGGCAGCTACCGTTGCTCATGCTACAGCGGTTACACTCTTAAAGACAGCAAAACATGTGAAGGTAAGCTTTGCTGGGCCTCTCCGTTTGCTTCAGCAGATGTTTAGTGACTTGATAGCGTATCAGAGAGCTGGGTTGCACTGAGCAGCCCTAGTCTACTCCCTGGCCCAGCAGAGATGTGCTGGTAGCTCCTGTTAGCTGCACTCTGCTGGGCTTGTACTGGGTGCTCCAGCCAGCACTATGTGCCTGGGCTTGTCAGCGGTCACACCATGCCGCTCTCCCAGTATCATAACACAGGCGTGATTCACAGAGGATTTGTGGCTTGGATTGTGCTAAATTGCTTTAGCTGATCAGCCTCCATATCCTGACATTGAGAGGAGGAAGGTCTGGCCAGATGTGTTGCTGTGATTCTGTCCAGTCTCACAGTGCGGTATATGAGACATTTGTTTTTCTTTTGTGTGTTTCTCATTTTATTTTTCTAAATTTGGATATGTGCAGCAGCTCATGAAATCAGATAGATACAGATGGATAAGTTCACTGCAACTGAATATTAATAGCTGTAGAAAGGCCCTACTGAAGGTTGGCAGCTCTTCTACATAGCAGCCAAGAACAGAAAGTGAGGATCTGAAGTATCTGATTGAAACTGCAGAATGAATTTACATAACCAAAACTTAAGCAACTGAGATTTTAAAAGTGTTAAGAAATTGCATGCTGAGACACAGACTCATTAATGATCACAGGTGGCTGTTAAAGTTACGTATTATCTCATGAGAAAACAGGCAAGTCTGTGTATATACATCTTACCAATGGATGTGACCACATATTTCTAAACAGTTTGCTTACCAGATCTGAACAACATATTAATGCTACCAGCAAAAAGACAAAGTGCAGGATTTTATTTCTGTGTCACTTCCACTGCAAAAAGTGATGACTTTACAGATAACGTGGTATCCCTTTCTAATGGGAGCAGCCGCTTAGAAGAGCCCGCTTCACTGCTGAATGGTCCTCTGGTGCCAGTTGGCATGGACGGGCGGATGGCGAGTGGGGTCACGATTACGATTGTTTTCCTGTGTGTCTATATTTGTATCATACCGTAGTACTATTAGAGCACAGTGTATAAGCATTCTGTAGCTTCAGTGTGTGACCCTCTGTTTGCTGAGGTTATTGTCAGCTGTGGCTAATGCTAGCTGAGATTTATCATTGCATTTCAGTTTTCTTTCACATTTATTCCTGTCATTATGTGCACACACTAAAAAGTTAGGGTTTGTCTGTTGATATGTAGACTAGGCGTACATAGCATACTAGATAGACTACCATCAGCCAGTTCACTCATACGGGGGAAAATCACAAAGCGTAACGTGTAGTTGTAGTTTTAACATGTATGAGAAAGCAAAAGTAAACATTAAAGTCTCAGTACACTGCAAATGTTTTGTCAACACCAAGATTTTTCTGGGTGTTAGTTAACATGTTAGAAAAACACATGTTTGTTTTTATGGACCTCCAGTTACTGTCCATTGCCCGCCTTCAGGGTGAAACCCCACACCATCCCTCAGACATGACTTGTTCTCTGTGACAAATTGGGCTGCTTCAATTCCCCTTTGCCACTACAGAGCAGTAGATTTAGATCTTAGTCTTGTGAATGCATGAAAAATTATTGTTTGCCTGTCTGAGGAAAAAGAAGAGATATCTGTGATGCTCCACAGGCTGCGTGTTTCTTCTATGTTTTGGTAAAATTCATAGCTGTTCCTCAGTTCCCGCTTGCTGCTTTTTTAACCTGCAGTTTCAGCCCCTGGAGTTGAGTGGAACTTTTCAGTTTTGTGGGAGTTGTTTTGTTTTACAGTATTTCTCCTGGCTCACTTTGCATTGTTTTTTCCAGCAGTGATTAATGTCTTAAAGAAAGAAAAAAACAACTGGTTTTGAAAGCCTGAAGTCACTTCTTATAGCTAGCTAACCCTAAAGGTAGATTCTTAAAGATACTGTTTTTTCAGTTACCAAAATTATATAGGGATCTCTTGACCCTGAGCCCACTCCAGTGTGCAAACAGTGAAATTATTATACTCGTCTGAAGTTGTGTTGTTTAATTGCTTGTTTTGCAGACATAGATGAATGCACAGCATCAGCAGACATCTGTGGAGAAGCTCATTGTAAAAATTTAATAAGTTCATATGAATGTCTTTGTGATGCAGGCTACAAGTATGATGACGTGAGAAAGACTTGTCAGGGTAAGCTCATGAAATAACATCATGTTGGCATTTATTACATGATTTAAAAGCTATAACACCCCAGAAATTTCATTTCAGGCTTCAGTAAAAACTTTTTTTTTTTTTTGTCCTTAAATCTTGCTTGCACACTGGACTTCTGTTCCCTTTCTTGAATTGTGAGCTTGCAGTTTGTGGTAATCTTGAGTTCATCGAGTTTGCAGTCACCTTTGATTACTTGAATCAAGCTGTACAAGCCAGAGTATTGAGATTTCTTGAGTTTATGACAAGTGCAAGATCTGGTGGAAGCTCAGAAGCATCTGTGCATGTTGCTGTCTCTCACTGTAGGACAAGAAAATTTACAGAGCAGTAGCTGTTTTTCTTTCAAAACCTGTCTTGTGGTATTACTCTGAACTAGGATCTTAATGTGCATTGGAACCATGCACAGTTCTGCTGGCTACACTGCCTGCAAGCTTTCTCAATGGAGTAAGTTTTGAAAGTATTCCAAAACTAGCATTGTTCCCTGCCTTTTGTCTAAGTTAACATAATAACTTGAATCACACGCCAACCAGCCCTACCGGGCAATAAGTGTTTATCTCTGCCTGAAGAGATCCCTGCAGGCCACCACAGTTTGTTTTCCTGAATTTGTTTGCAAAGTGGATAAAAACAAGCCGAAGTCAAAAAAAAGAAAATAATGAATGAGAAACTCAGCTTTTACTTGTCTGTTGAGGATCCAGCTGCTGAGTAGCAATGAAGCAAGCAGTTCCTGAGTTGACCTTGAGTTGAAGGAGCAGGAGCCAGTCAGCGCAGGCGTAGCAGAGGGGGACTGAAGGGAGGCAGTTAAAGCACAGGGCTCTGCACCAGCAGACAAGGAGCTGAGCTCTGCTTCCAGCCTTATCACTGACTTACTGTGTTTCTTTGGGCAGCTGGAATCTGTCTGTGAAAATAGATTTGTGCAGATGCTAATTCTAACTTTTCCCTCCTGTAAAGATGTGTCATAGGGTAAGTACTGGCTACAGAGCATTTGGGCATGCTCAAATGAAAGGTGCTACAAAACGACACTGATAACACTTTTTCGCCCCAGATGATTCATGTTTAAACAAACTTAGTTGCTGTTTTTTCCTCTCTTCTTTGCTGGATTTGTGCAGATATAAATGAATGTGAAGAAAAGCTCTGTGAACAGACCTGTGTCAACTCGCCAGGGAGTTATACCTGTCATTGCGATGGCAGAGGGGGAGTAAAACTTTCCCAGGACATGAATACGTGTGAGGTATGTTAGTCTTCATTTCCGTAACTACAGAACAGACCTTTATTTTACATTGAAATTAAGAATAATTGATACAGCTCTGGACCAAAGCCATTTTTGCTGAGTGACCAGCAGGAGGGAATCATATTGGCAAAGCTGTGTGAGATGGGGACAGTAGCTCTCTTGAAAATAAACTCTTACCTGAAAGTGTCTGTTGTCAGGATCCTCCTGTCCCCGTTACAAAAAGAGCATGCCAGTGATAGCCCTGCCAGCCCCCTGTTTGGCTAGAAGTTATGTCTGACTGCACAGGCTTTTCTGAGTTAGACCCATAGGATGGTGCAAAGGTCTCAGGGCATATGGACCAGCACTTGCACTTGAAACTTTTGTCCTCAAGGCATTTGAGGTAGATGGACTTCGGTGGCACAGTCTGTCTCTGCGGAAACCAACCACAGCAAATTCATAGCACATTTCTTGTTGCAGACACGATGGTGCAGTAGAAAATGTTATACTGTACCTTGTGACTATGATTTCATCTTGCAACAGGAAAACATTCCTCCAAGGCAGATAGGAGGGAGGAGGGGAGGAAAGAGGAAATGTTCTCAGTACCAGAACAACTGTATTTGAGAGTATTAACATTAAAGTGCCCTAACTTACTGTATGTATAGCAACTACTCGAGAAAAGAAGAGGCATACTCTCTGATTTGCTTTCTACTGTGTGAGGAGAATAAGCACTCAAAAATGTGTTTTGATTATAGAACATAATACCATGTGTGCCTTTTGCTGTTGGAAAAAGTATTAAATCCTTGTACCTGGGGAGGATGTTCAGTGGCACTCCTGTTATCAGGCTGCGCTTCAAAAGGAGACAACTGACGAGGTGAGGACAATTTAGAATGACAGTTGAATGCGCTGGCTGGCTTTAATGCGCTCAATGGAGTTAAGTCATTGCAATAACAATTAGTCTTGTGATCACCATTATTTGTTTGGATTATGGAGTCCCATAAGGCGAAACATTATCCAAACCAGTAATTGAGAAAGGCAGCCTTGACCGCAGAGCTCCTAGGGTAATTACTGATGTACAATAATGTATTCTTTATTCTTGATGCAATTTAAAAACCCATCTTCAGAGCTTAAGTCTTTCAGGAATGCATTAAAAGCTAGTATGTTTTAGCAGAGCTTTGTAACTGCTAGAATTGATGCTATCTGTATGGAAAGTACTCTGTGGTTTTTGAACTCTGCATAACTAATTTATTTCTTGGCACCTGTGCGGTCAGACTTGTGGCTGAGTTCGACTTTAGAACCTTTGATCCTGAAGGTATCCTTTTCTTTGCTGGAGGCCATCAAGACAGCACATGGGTAGTCTTGGCTTTGCGCAAAGGACGGCTAGAGCTGCAGCTGAAATACAACGGAATAGGCCGCGTGACCAGCAGTGGACCGCTTATCAACCATGGCATGTGGCAGACGGTGAGTCCAGACCACTGCTGAGATCTTACCACTTCTTGGCTTGCTCCTGATGGGCCCTGTCAAGTGCAGCTAGACTTTGTGTATTCTTGAGAAAATGCTTTTCCAACCTATCGATCCATTCAGTGCATCCCAGTGCATTATACGTTCTCAGGTGAGAATGGGGTATTTTTCCTAACAAATCGAATTATACTTTATATCCACTGTAACTAGCTGCATCACTAATTTGCCCAACCAGAGCAGACACAGTGCCTTTGAGATGCAACAGTGCTAAGCTGAATTCACATCAGTTCAAGAAGATGCCCTCTGGGTGAGGGATGGAAGGGTGTAGGAGGGAAGGAGCTCTGTAGCTCTTTTTTCAAGGAAGTTTCCAAGGGTGTTGAGTATATGGGAGTGTGTGTGTTGTTGCTTTTGTTTATTCATCTGTTTATTTATTTGTTTAGTCACAGGGCTCAGATTGTCTGAGCTCTTGACAGATCTCTTATGCTACAGTATCCTTTTTTTAAAGTCTTCAGTCTTGTTTATATACAAAATAGACTTATTTCCCTTGTAAAGATATTGGGGTCTATTAGAACCTCTCTGTTCACTAATCACATAGTCCCAGCAGTCTCACCAGATGATGCACTGCATCTTGGAGCTTGTAAGGTTTAGTGTTCTTGACACTTTCACAGAACATCTGGTGATCCTAGAAGCATCATGGGTGTTACCATTTGAGACAGGATCATGAAAAGCATCCCGTAGTATGAGCTACACTAGATTAGCAGTTTATATATGCCTTCTCACTTCTGCCTTTTCATCTCCTTTTATTTTTTCTTACTAATTAGATTAATTTTGACTTTTACATTGATGTATCTCTTGGGGAGTGGGTGGGAAGTTCTCAGCTAACTCTTATATAAAACAAATACAGATACTGGTAACTGCGAATAATTCTCTGTTTTAAAGTTTTTAGTATAAAAAAAATCAGAATTATAAATTTTAAAATTGCTTCTAATAAATAAATAAAGAAGTCCTTAAGTGCATTCACTGTCAACTACTGATATTTGGTAATGTTTCCAGCAGATGAGGTGATATTTAATTCGGTTCCTTTACTGTCAGTGAAACAATTTTAGAGTCCAAATGGAGACCTGTAGAGGTTCAGCAAAGCTGGAGGTAAAGTGTATGACATGCTGTATCTTTACAGGTGGGAATAGCCTCAAGCCAGTTCTTACTAAATTTGTTGTAAATTTTGTTCTGCTAATTTGAAATACAGCAACTGTAATTGCCTACACAGAGAGGATGGTGATGAAAGGCGTGAAAAGCAGAGTTGATGCCACTGGGGTGACTTGGGAGGCACAAAAAGCAGTCATTACCAGGCCAAATCATTTAACACAGGAGTGCAACATACTTGTTAAGTGCCAGACCTCATTATGAAGTAATTACAGACTTTCCCATGTTAGTTTTGGGGCAGACATCTGAAATGTATTTTCTTTCTTCAATTAATACAAAAATGCTCAAACACATAGGAGTTACAGGGTAAACAACTGCTGTGCTTGCTTTCTGTGGGAAGAGAAGGCAATATAATGAAAGTAAGTATAATTTTTAGGCAAGAATTATTGGCCTCCTGCCAGCTGTCAGTGTCAGGGCTCTTATCCCCAGGTACGATCATAACCAAGGAACTGTCTGGCTGAGTTGCAGTGCACTCTTTGCATGTTTTCTGTGAGATTGTATAAATCCCCTGGAAACCCTTCCCCAGGACTTTGTGGGACAGTGCAGACCGAGCCCATGGGTGGTGTGCAGTGCAGGTGAACAAGACCCACGCCAGAGTGGGGGCAGGTGCCCCTGCAGCCAGCAGTGCCTCCCCACGCCTGGGCTGAGCAGGGCCTGGCAGCTGCCAGAGACATAAACTGGCATGAGTGGAGGAGAGAGCGTCACACGATGTGTGACACACAGGAGTGCTGGCCTGGAGAAAATTGATGGCGTGGCTCTGGTGATTGTCTCCCAAGGCAAAACTGTTAATGCAGTGCCTGATACTGGCCAAAGGCAGAAGGATTTACCCACAGATGAACAGCAGCAGAAGGAAGGATCCTTTAGTCTCTTGACTTCATGGTTGACTCACCTCTGAGACTTGGGGTGCTGCTTGTGTTGCTGGGGTTCTGTTGATTTCTCTTTGCTCTATTTTCTTATCCCTTGCCTCTACCCTACAGGTACTTTGTTCACCTTTGCTTGATGTTTCGTGTCACTCCTGTCTTTAAATGTCATGTCATCTATAAGGCTGAGCAATACAACTATAAATGTCTTCATTTTATCCCCTCCCTCATTTCCGCCTTTTCCTCTGTCCAGCATGGTTTTTAATTTGGGAAGTTCTGTTAAGAAGGGGTCATACCTTTTTGTCTGTCTCCTTTTATAAAACATGTAGCCACACATTTCATTTCAAGTATGGACTTGTGTGTACTTTTCAACCTCACCTTCTGTGAAGCACAACCCAACAGCCTTCAGAGGTCACAGTCCAGACTCAAATGCTCTTTGGGAGCTTTAGTCTAGACTTCAGTATGCACAGGATCAAGCCCTTAGTTTTGCTTAGAACAGTGGAGTTTGGATACTTTTGAGAAAATTATAGGGGTTATGAGAAAATAGTAATTTTACTATTTAACTTTGAGCAGATGAAAAAACAGTGGCTATTTAAAAGCAAAACATAAGAAAAAGCACCAGCAGTGTATGTTCTTTCGGTTTCTTGAACAAAAGTCACATACTTTATGGAAATACAAGGGCATTTTCAAAACTTCAGGCCAATATTTCTACCCAGGTATTTTCTCTGGTGTTGATCTCTCCTAATCTATTTTTGAATTATCATTTCCAGCATTGAAAACACAAACATGCAAGCCTCACGAAAACTTCCAATGTAGTTATTTGTGTGTAATCCAGTTGGATGAAGTGCTACGTATGAACTGATGATAGTAGAGAACCCACTCACCTTTTGTTTTGCATTCCCAAAAAAAGTAATTTTGGTTTTTTTTTTCAATGTTCTGTTTAGTACTGCTCTGAGGACGGTATGGTTAGCAAAAATAGAAACTTACCTGCACTGTTAAATGTTAGAATTGGAGGTTAAGCAATTGAAAGCAAATTTGTATTTGGCTTTAACCCTGCAGCCGCCTGTAGTCCCATCCCTTTCCAGTGCTGTCCACTTGCTTTTCAGCAAAGATCGGACAGGCTGGTTGTATGCTATGAGTTATCCAGGGCACGAATCCAAAACAGAAAGCTGACTGCCCTTATGGCTAACTGCGTGGGAACCCTTAGAGAGCTGCCTGCCTGAATGTCCTTGAGCACACTGCAGCAGGCAGCAGCTACCTTCTCCTTGCAAGAAGAGGAGTGAATTAGGGCAGTCGGGTCACTACCAAAATGCATCCCCTTTTGGTTTGTAGGTGATTGTGGTACACCAGCAATTAAACTTTGAATATAAGGAAATGAAGCTGAAACTGCCAGAGGGCAGCGTGAAGTAAGCAGAGTGTAATTTCTTAAACTGGAATTTAAGAGCTTCCACAAGGGATTAACCCTTTCTCCTATGGACCTTTCCACGGATTTGGGTTTGTTTATATTAATGATCAGAAGCAGCTAAGAACTCAGACTAATTTTTTTAAATTTTCAATGTTGTTACTTTCTATACAATCTAATACAGTTTTAGAAGGCCCTAAACTTTGGTGGCCCTGCAAGTTGCAGGATTTCTTCATAGAGGAAGCACAATGTGGGCATTGCTGCTTTCCCCCATTCCCGATTGCCCCATGGCTGCCTGCGATCTGTGCTAGGAGCAGGGAGATGGTCTGTGCCAGCTCTTTGTGGTACTCCGTACCCCAGTGCATTAGGGCAGCAGTGACCGTGACAGAGGCAGAGCAGAGCAGAGGCATCCGAGTGAGTTTTTAGCTAGATAGCCAGTGTAGCCAAGCCAGTTGGGCTGTGGCTGTCAGGACCTGTGGGGTTATGTTCCCACCCACTGAGTGGACTTTACAGCCTGCCAATGCCCAAAAAAGCCTGTTGGAGACTGGCTTGTGTGTCTCCATGGAATGCAGTCAGGAGGTGTAGATGCCACTTTAAAAAGCAAGCTTCAGACAAGTAAATTCATGTCCTGTAGAATACTGCACAGAGCAACACACTGGGTGTAAACATTGTTTTAGCAATATAAACCAGACTGTACTGGAATACACAGGAGAAGAAAAAAGTTTGATAGTCTGTGAATAATCTTTTCAACTATCAAATTCACTCAGTCTTATTACTGAAGACTGCAATCCAAAGGGAGTGTCCAGGTATAAACCTGCTCAACCCTGTTGTCCTTTATGTTACAGACACAGAGTGAGAGCTCAGCATGGCTGATGGAAGTACTTTTGGGGCAGCTACTCTTGAAATTCAAAGAGAAAGATGCTCATAACCTGGCCTACTAGCAGGGAGAGGGCAAGTCTAAGCAGTCATTGAAATAGATATTTGGTTCTAAGGAGTGGCTCACTGATGGAGGCAGCATCTGGGTGTCCCAGGGAACAGAGCTGTACAGATGAAGGGTTGGTTGGTGGGATATCTGTCATAGAGTGGGAAGAAGGAGTGCTGTGTTGAAGATTGTTAAATAGTGGAGGTGTGCTCCTTTCTTCTTCTCTACAGGAAGAAAGGGGTTGTCTTTTGCTGCAGCCACAGAATGCCCCATCGGTAGTAGGACCCAGGTCCCAAGGCAGCAGAATCCGTGCTGCTGATCAGTAGCTTGCTGCACATCAGCTTTGTGCTTTGCCCTCTCCTCTCCCTCTACAGAGCTGGCTGCTTTATCGTGCTTCTCTGTGCAGCCTAGTCATAACTAAAATATATATATTTTTTTTAATTTCAATGATGATAGAATCTTCCTAGAAGTAGCTCTTTGGAGACATGGAGGTAAAAGTTGCAGAGGCCTTTTGAGAGAAAAATTATTGCCTATTACACATTTTTATTACCCACTCAAAAAATGACATCTTTTGTTCTTTTTTCAGGGGTCAGTATTCCAAGACTATGGCTGGAAGGCTTCTGCATTATATTGCACTGGTCCAACAAAGGACATCTTATCTGTCTTTCCAGCTTTTCCTTTCACATGCTGTTGCAATAGAAAGTTTCTCATCAATAACTAGTTATTGCATTTACCTTTTGCATAGAGCAACCTACAAATGTCCTGTTAATCCATTTGTATTTTCGTGTGGCTGTTTTGAAGTAGCTGGGCTGTCTTCACCATTAGGGCAACCCCAGATTGTTTTCTAAAGTAAAGATTTACATATCAAAGTGGAATGTAACTTAAAAGGTAGACAAAGAGACTTGGGAACAGAAATCTTTCTCCACCTTGGGGATTTCACTGGTGGTATCTGTCCTTTAGTTGAGGCTGCAGATTAAGTTATTTTTATACTGAATTCTATTTGCAATTTTACTTTTTCAGATCTCTGTTGAAGAACTCGAAAGAAGTTTGATTATAAAGGTCAACAGGGATGCAGTTATGAAAATAGCTGTCTCAGGGGATCTGTTTACTCTAGACAAAGGACTGTATCAGCTGAATTTGACAGTAGGAGGCATTCCTTTCAAAACAAAGGACCTTATTCTACCCGTAAGTATAGCATGCTGCTGATGTTGTTTTGCATGCCTGAAGGGCTTGATTTGATCTTTTGGGGTAATGTAGGTCCTTCCTGAGAGCAGTTCAGCCTGCCCTCAAACAGGTGGAACTGTCACCTTCTGGATACAGCTTTCTCCCCATTGACTATAGAGGGAGCCTAAGCCAGTAGCAAAGGTGAGACTCCTGATTTTTTGATTGGTAAGTCTGGGTGAGATGTATCCCACCCTTGGCCTACAGAATAGGACACAGCAAAACTGTAGCACATGACAAAATTAACGGTGGTCATGCTGGCTTGGAGACCAGGAGTGGCCCTGGGGATCAGTGGACACATCACTGTGTGAGGGTACCATCGTGCCCCCCAGGTCTGGAAACAACACTGGGGGCACTTTCTGTGATGTGACTGAAGTTTGTGCTTCACGTATATTCTAGCATGTTTTTGCTGCTTGCGTTTGCTGTTTCAGTTTATTAAGACCCAAGGAAAAACAGAAGCTTATTTTTCTTTATTTCTTCCTAATTCAAGTAGATAGGGCATCAGAATAAAAGTTAAGGCACTCTTTGGAGGAAATTGGATGATTGCTGTGTTTCTGAAATAGCTGCTGCTCAGGTTGTTTTGGATGTCCACCACACACAGAGTTGGCACCTTGAAACCCAAATTGGCATCTCATTATTTCTAAATGAGGTGACAAGCTCACGGTTCTGTGACTGGGAGTGCAGCAGCTGAGGAAGGCTCCTGTTCCTCACAAGAAGTCATTCAGGGCCACTGTTGTCTGAAACGTTAAGCTCAGGGTGTGGTCTGAATATAGGACTGAGAGCCAAAAACTCCTGAGGTTTTTATCCTGGCTCAGACACTTAATTCTCTCTCTGCTTCAATTAACTGGGGGTAATGGTGCAGATATAGATGCTTTTCAAGGAGCCTTCTCTTTACATACTGTCTCACATTTTAATGCTGCCATTTGGTACAGGTTAACATAACTAGAAGCTGGAAGGAACAAGGTGTGGAGAGAGCAGTGTGCCTGTTCTGTGGCTCAGGCACCCCTCCCTTAAACCATAACCCAACAGCTTATACCATGATCTGGTCCAACATCTTGTCTGTCATCAAGGCTGTTTGCAATGACACAAAGGATTGTTTTTTTAACTTCAGGTTAGCCTCCAGCATTTTCAATGCAGAATTACAGGAGTTACATAACTTTGGCTACAGAGCTTCAGAAGTAAATCACACTAGTGATGTGCAGCATGTAGAGGAGCTAACAGAATCAATATAGCCAAATCAGCACCTGCATTAGCTAGTGCCCTTCTGTCCTGTGGAGACAAGCTGACCTGGGTGTTTCCTGGGGGAATACTGACCACTTGCTTGGGGTTGCAGGATTGGGGTTGCCGCCAATTGATTTGCACACACATAACACGGCAAAGTGATTTCTCTTATTTAGTATCATAATATAACTCAGTATTCCTCTGCACCCAAAATTAGTTATACTTCACTGAATAGTATTACAGTTTGAGGCATGAGATACTGCTTTATCCTCCTAGATAAACCCTCGGCTGGATGGTTGCATGCGGGGATGGAACTGGCTGAATGGGGAGGACACCTCTATCCAAGAAACCATAAAGATGAATGAAAAGATGCAGTGCTTTTCTGTAGCAGGACGAGGGTCTTTCTATCCTGGCCGAGGTTTTGCTGTGTTTAATCTTACTTACGGTAAGTACTTAATTTTTTTTTTTTTTATTTCTGACCTGTTCTCCTGCCATTAACTATACTCAGTTAATAGTTTAAAACTTACATGTATACTGGACTCAGTGTTGATCAGTGCAGGAAAGACTGGCAGCTGTGGATGGAGAGAGAATAGCTAAATTTGTGGCACATAATGAAGGAAGGCCTATGTGTGATGGTTAGAGCCAGTATGAATATGCCCAGCATGGATTAGGTTCTCTCTCTGTAACTCCAGTAATGTATTTCACATACAGGCTGGTTGCAGCAGCATAGGTGGCTCCAGCCCTATCCAGTGTTTTCTGCTAAATAAAGCTGCAAGCCATACTGCTATATCTTGAGTTTATGATGGACAGAAAATCAATATTGTCTGTAGAAAAATGTCCAGGATTGGATTCACTTTTAATTATTGGGTGGTATTAGTTATGCTTGGGACAAACACACTAAGCATATTCCTGATCCAAGCTGAATGAAGTTGGCCTAGATACACTAATAACAAGTTTCAAACCACACTTGGCCATACCAATATAACACTCAGAAAGGCACCTTTTTCTTTGTTCTAGATTATTCTGTTTGTTTATATGTGTGATCAACTGTCAGTATTTTTAAACCCGTACAAATGCCAACCACCTATTTTAGTTTGGTGCGTAAGCCCTCCTCTGCAGAATCCTTCTGTGCATCATTATGTGGATTTTTCTGCTGTGCCATCGTAAATTAGAGCATATCAGGTGTCTGTCGTCTTGTTTACCACATGGATTCAAAAGCTGCAAAGTAGAGACAAGGCAGCATCTGTGGTGCAGATGACAGCACTCAGCAGACATGAGGCTTCAGCATCTGCATTTTAATTTTTTTTCTACAAACAATAATTTTTTTTTTTTTTTTTTTTTGGCTTTGTAATGGTAAGCTTTATAAAGAACTTACTGTATTTCAAGATGTGGTGAACCAGCAAAGCTAATACCTCTATGAAGGGAGGTTGCAGAAGCAGTATTGAAATCTTTCTTTGTAGCCAGTATCACCTTTTAAATTACAAGGGCACTGAGACAGTAAGAAAGATTGCAGAGAGTTTAATTCAGAGTTTAGGAGGTGAGATAAAACATCCTACACTTCTGAGAAGCTGGTGATTAGGTAGTGATCAGTGTAGTATGCTTATATCCTTTTTCAGTTTAACACAAGCTTTTATAGGAATGTTTCCTGTATGTCAGATTTGGACTTAGATCCCTCAATGATCTTTGGACAGCCAAGAACCATTCAAAAATGGGGTGCCCTATCTTGCAGCAGCTCTTTGAATGTGTTGGATTGATAGCCATGGGAATTTGACTCTTTCTTTGTGATAAAAAAACTTAACCTTGTCCTTTGACAGTCTTAAAGACAGCAGAATGCAGAAGGTAACAAGACAAAACTGATGCCTTTTTCTTCTCTATGTTCAGGTGCTTTGGAATATTTATTTTTTTTTTTTTAGTAATAGAAATGTGGTAGTCCCTCCATCTATCCTCTTCTCCAGGCAGAAATCGCACAGCCTACCCACCCATTTCACCTGTTAGTCCTATGTTTGTTGTGCTATGCATTTCTTTTTCTGCAGTGCAACCTTCTTCTGGAAATGAAACCAAGACAAGCTGGGAAATAGAAGTAAATGCTGCAATTCAACCAGCAACAGATACTGGCGTGCTGTTCGCTCTAGTTACAGAAGAAGCATCTGTGCCTTTATCGCTATCTCTAATTGACTATCACTCCACAAAGAAACTGAAACAACAGGTAGAGACTTAAGCATTTTTTCTGGAGAGGGTTCCTTGCCATTTCCTGGGGACTGAGTCATTTTCAAAAAACAGTTGTCAGGTTTGCTGAGTGCCTGCTTTATTTCGTCTGAGCTAAGATGCTGGGCTGACACCAGAGTTCTGTCTCTTATGGGTATATGTCAGATGCCACTAAGGAGCTCTTTGCAAATGTGGTCAAGGTAAAAGACGGAGCTGGTCTCTTGAATGCAGGCATATTTTGTGATGTTTTTCTGGCACAGAAGCTGTTTAATGCCATAAGCAAAGAATTTCCATTCTCTAGAGCTCATCAGTAACTGCCTCAAAGTAGTCAAGAGACAGGGTTTAGGTATTTCTCCAAGTGCTGTGAAAGGCCAGTTATGATGGAATGTGGAAGCTACTGATTTAATGGTACTCATAATAAAGGGCTAGATTCTGGCATTACACGAATGTAAATCTGGAATGATATTGCTAAAACCCATGAGCCAACTTTTTATTTCTAGTACATCAGCTCTCATCTATTTGGTTCCAGTGTAATATAACAACCTCTGTAAGACTCACTAAGAATTCTCTCATGGTTAAGACTAACAATTCGTCCCATTGGTTTATTGGGTTTTCATCTGTGCAGGTGAGTTCTGAACACAATCAGCAATAGTAATAAGGCTGATTCTCTGGTGGCTCTGCAAAATCTTTGTAAACAAGGCCACAATGGGGTCATCCTGGTCTTGGGTAAGTGTGGCTAGGTATCTTCCTGCTCACTGCCCCTTTTTCTTCTTTCCCCTGCTGTCCAGTTTGTCATTGTGGCCTTGGAGAACACAGTTGTGTCCCGACTGGCAATAAATCTCTGCGATAAGAAGGAACACTCTGTGGACATCCTCCTCAAGGAAGATCACTTATCCCTGAGGGTAGATGGGATAGCAGGAGAGAGTGAACTAAGCGTCTCTGAGTTAGAGGACAGTCTGTCCATCTTGGAGAGCTCTTTGCAGTCAACAGTGAAGACATACGTGGGAGGATTGCCAGGTGAGCATCCAGTTTTGTAGCTTGGCCTACAGACTCCCAACATACCTTGCTGGGCTGTCAGTCAGGAAAATCGCCTCCGTTGTTTCAAGCTGGGAGTCTCCTCTGTTTCTGCTTGAGCAGGCTTTGTCTGCAATGCAGGCGTGTGATCTTAACAGATGTGAGGGTGAGCTTGACAATTACTTTTTTTCTTGAATGATTGTGTCCTTCTGAGGACAGCTGCAGGCAAAAACAGAAAGAGGAGGTTTTGCTTGGTCAGCAATAGGAATGATTCATCTGAAGGACAGCTGTAAGCAGGGTCATAATCTTAAACCTGGTAAAATACATAGGAGCTGGACCACAGGCTCCTTCAGTGCATCCTTAATGTAATGAACATGTGTGAGCACTCCCTGAAGGGAGTGCCAGGGTCTCACATTGTTTTGACTGAAGCTTGGGAAGCCCAGAGTGGTGAATCTCCCTGGCTGATGTTCTCTTTGAACTGATCACAACACTCCACAATTAGCAGATTTCCTCCCTTCAGAGGGTACGTAGGGCACAACCGAGGGGCTACCTCCATTATGGTTTTGCTGGCTTTTCAGCAACAACAGGGCTTCTTGTGGGAGGTCAGTTTGCTCCTCTTTTCTGAACCTGGACAGTCAAACTTTCATCTGATCAAACTTTCATCTGAATCATGAATTTTGGCCAAGTTTGGGGTTTTTTTCTTGTTCTGGCTGAACTGGTTTATCAGTCCCTACTCCTGAGGCATGCAATGAAGGAAGCATTTATGTCTCTGATGCACAGCAGTACATCTTATTTTGTTGCCAGCAGCTAAGCAAAATCTTGCCCTTACTTGCCCAAGCAAGGGAGAGGCAGCAGTGTTGGCCTTTTGGTAGGTGCTGAAGAAGTCAGGCTGGAAGAGGGTGGATGAGGTGCCATGTGTGCTAGGACGCATGACATGATTGTTCCCACCATGATCAAGAGTTTACAGAGTATTTATGCCAGTGATGTAACTGGCTCCTGGTCACACTTAAAATGGTGAGGCCACACACTCTGGGACTTGCAGGAACAAGGCCGAATCCTCAAATGTGGCATTTTCCAGCGTCAGATTGAATTGTCCAAGTTGGCCATTGCACAAGCAAGAGAGGTCACCTGCTTTCTTTCAAGTAGTCCTCAAATGCACAGCAGAGACTTTCACAGCTCAGAAAACAATCCCATTCTGTCGCTGTCCTGAGTTCTCTGTGGTTTGCTTAGACTAACCTTACCGGGTTAAGCACAGTTTTTAATTAGCCAGAACTAAGTGTGAGATGTCATAGCTATGGCTGTTTAGACCCAGCTGGCTTTTGTAGGTTTAGCTACTTTCCCCCTTTGATCTGTTCTGCTCAGCAACAGGAATTTCTGCTTTTGCCATTGAGAGGAACCTAGCACTTGCATTGAGAAACCTTGTCATTTGCCAAATGAATAAACAATTTGGCACTTCGGTTGGATCCATCGCTCTGGGTTAAATAACTATGCCAAATGGTCAGATCTAAGTTCGTTTGGCTCATTCAAATTTTGAAAACATTACATTGTTTTGGGGTTTTCTCTGCTTCCATACCCTGTGGAAAAAAATATATCAGTCACACGTAATGTCTTTATTCCATTTGCCACAAATAAAGAAAGAATTCTGGGTCAAAATATGTAGGATGTCCCATCCTAAGTACAGCTAATAATATTATTTAGAGTTTCAAGAGATAAGAGGGAACATATAGGCATTTACTACCTTTTCTATGGTATTTTCAGTTCTGGTAAATCCTAAATTATGTAATTTATGTGATGCATAGGTGCTTTTCCAGGCAACATGTATACCACCAGGTGAAGGAGCCTTTAAACAAGGCTTCTGAGTCTTTACAGGACCACACTTCAGACAGATCCATTTCTAGTTGTAGCAGAAAATTAAATATTTGACCTGATTTGCAATTATAACAGTTTAAAAAATATATATATTTTTTTGGTAGTGTCTTACAAATCCAGCTGAAAGCCCACACCATCTTTCAGTCAGTCCTGTGGCACATGTAACAGGAATCTTCATGATTCCTTAGACAAACATTCAAGCCATTAAACCAAATTTTAACTTATTCTAAGTCAAAATTCAGCTTACATTCATGTGAGGTACTACAACGCAGAATCCCCCTTCTCTTAAGCAGACTTCACAGATAAAATTTGGTAAATGGGAAGGAATACGAAATAGCTAAAATGATTAGTTTAAACAACTACCAAGCAATGGTACTTTTCAGCCAGGAAGCTGAAAAATTTATAATATCTTTCTGTGGCTTACAGATCCCATCAGCTTCAAACTTGGCCCTGTGTGTCTCCAGGCAGAACCCTTTAAATTACATATAATCTCAGGTCAACAGGACAACCTATTGTTCAAGTTCTCCTTGCTTCGGTGTAAAGATAAGGTGTTTACTTAGCTACCTGCATCACTGTGAAGTTAAATAATCTTTGAGATGTTCATTGCTTTCCATTGCACAACCAGCTTGATCAGGTCGGCTTTGGGTTGTAAATAAACTAATAACCTCTGGGGAAGGGTAGAGGACACAGTTCACGTGAATTTTCATGTTACTATGTGGGGTTTTTTGTTTATTTAAGGTCAGTGTTTATATGACGTTACAGAAGTTAGTAACCAGATTGACTTATTTCTTCTGGTTCTTGGATTGTATTTAGTGTCTTCTTCCTTGCTATTTGTTTGCTCTTCTGGTAGATTGATTAAAGAAACTATGTCACTAGTGGATCTCCACAGAAAACAGTTTCATTAGTCTTACTGTCTCGATGTATTTCAGCACCTTTCTGACGAATGCCAGCAACCTCCTTGTGCTGATACATAACATAAGCATGGTAAAGATGAGTCCAGCAAGTGGTAGAGGCTGTGTATAGAAGGAACTTTCCTGTCATTAAGTTCTCCCTATAATCTTTTGGCAGATATTTTGAAGAGAAAGAGAGGGAGTGCATTAGAGGAAGGTATAACAGCCCCACTAATGACAAAGTAGAGAGTCCAGAGGTGGAGGAGGGGGGAAACAATGAGACGGAAGGCAGCATGAACACAGTGTGCAACTGGCATGAAGCCTTGCTGCTGTGCAGCGCGTGGTTTCATCAGGACTGGAGACCTTGAAGAGACACAGAGCTGCTGGGGAAGGGTTCAGCCTGGGAGAAGGCTTTTGTGCACAAGAGCAGATGGCATTTTCCCTATGTCTGGAATTGTGCTCTTGCCTTCTGGTAAAGTGGAGCGGGGGGGAGGGGGGGAGATTGAAATCTCGGAGTGGAGAAGAGTTGGAATTCATTGAAGTGATAGTCATCTGAGCATAGGTAGGGCAGGTATTTATTCAAAACCAGAAATCAGAGATGTTTGTCTCCTCTTTCACACAGAAATTCCTGTCACTTCCACTCCAGTCACTGCATCCTACCATGGCTGCATGACCATCAAGCTGAGCAACAAGCCACTGGACTTAGACGAGGCTCTCTACAAGCACAGTGACATCACCTCACACTCCTGTCCTCCAGTTGAGGCAGGTCAGTAGGTACCACTGCAATGCGAAAGTTTTATACTCGGAAACTTTCAATGCTTTTCTTTTTTCTTTTTTTTTTTTTTTTAAAAAAAAAGATATAAATTATTCAGACCTACCGCACTGCGTGTATAGTTTCTCTTAAACACTGAAGTTATGTAGGAGCTACTGATCCTTATGTCAGATTGATTATTGAAATACTCCTTTGCTTTGAGGTTTAAAGGTTGTAATATATTTGTAAATAGTTCAGAAGACTAATATTAAATAAGCCAAAAGTACAGAATATACTGAAAGTGAATGTTATGTTTAGACTGTAAGAGACAGTTTTATCTGTAATGTGGAAAATCTGGTAATATATGAGTGTGGACTGGAAGAAAAATAATAATTCTGTATTATTTTTTATTACCAAACACTGCTTTCTGATTTGCAAAATATGAGAGAATAAAATATTTACATACAAGTTTTTAATTTTCCTGTAATGAGATTATGCTGTATTCTGTTATTTGGACATAATGACTCAGGCTATGCCTGATGTGAAGATTACACTACGGGGGGGTGGGGTGGGGGGATTGGGTTGATTTGGCTTTTTGTTTGGAGATGGGGGGTTTTATGTGCTTATGTCAGTATTGTATATCTTCTGGGCTGGAGAGCAAATGGTTGCTGCTATTCTTACTGCTAGAGTTTCTCTTTCTGGTACCACAGATAGAAGGACTCAGCCGTGACCTTTAGAAAAACTCTTGGTCAACAAAAAATGGAAAACAAAGGTGGGTCAGCAGGAAACAGAAGAAAAGACTCAATAAGTTAAAAGCCACATGGCTTTTATGTCAATAACAGCTGAAGCAAATGATGAGGTGTCAAGAATTGGGGAATATTATCTGGCAATGACATATTTTTGCTGCTTCATTTTCAGGTTGGCTCATTCACTGTGAGACTAGTGGGAGCAGAGAGGTTTGAAACTGTGAGAGTTAGCCAGGCTGAATTGCAGTGTGGTGAGACTATATGTGGGGGGTTACACATAAGAGGTTGTAGAGCCATAAAGTACATTCAACTTTAAAGCTATCCTTGTGAAGTTGGGGTGGGCTTTGCATAGCCTGCATTGAGTCACTTAAATTTTGCTTTATTTGGTCTTTGTTTTGCATCAGATTAACGAACTGAGAAAGATAGGTATATGCTGTGGTGGAAATACAAATACTGGGTGGCTAAGGTTACCCCATGCTTCAGAGGGTTAACGTGGAAAAGGTCCAATTCTACAAGGTCTTTTATAAATTGTTCCTGGTCATTCTACATCACGTTTTCCTAATCAAATACAGAGATTATAGATTAGCCTAATAATCCATAGATGGGACAACATCTGTGACCAAGCTGTAGAGATCTAACTGTTCAAGAGGAAAGGATGGAAGATGAGGAAGGCTATCCCAAACATATTTCCTGGTAAGGATCCCTGCTTTCTTTAGCAGAGAAGAGGAAGTTAGTCTATTAGCCATTAGACAGCAAGACATCATAGCTCTTTATTGTGACCATATCAGTCAGCCCTAATGCAATAGGGCAGAAAAGGCCAGAGGTTTATCACTTTCAACGAACATACTCATTTACACTTACAGAAGGACCTGTTAAAAGACTTTAGACTCAGGTGTGACCAGATGCAAGTTTGAAAAAAGATAGTTGCTCACTAGACAGAAATAACTTATTGGTGGGGTGTGCATGGATAGGAAACCCCAGAAGTAGTTCTACATTTTTTCTTTTTGTAGTTGAGCAAGGGAAACCATGTTATTCCTGAGACTACCTTCTCTTAGAGTTGGTGACTGTGTATCGACTTATGATATAATGGAAAACCCAAGAAACTTCAGTATCTCCGGATAGAGCTGGGAATTCTGAGGATGCTGTGGTTAAGAGCACTTCCACACTGTAGTTTTTGTTTCCTGTGTGTTTTTCATGGTTACTTTAGTCCTTTACCATCTCCTATTCTTTTAACTTGGAGTAGTTCTAATGAAAACAGCTCAGAGTTGGAAGACACCTATTTTTTAAACTAAGTGGACGCAACAAACCCTGTTTTACTTTGTTCTTTTCAATGGAAACATATTAGCAAAATAGTCTTGTGTCTGGCATTTTGTATCATTTCTGTGGTAGTTCACAAAAAACCCTACCATGTGGCATAAATGACTCACAAACATGTCTGACCTTTGTGTTAACATAAGTGGTACTATTTATGAGGCCAGAATTATTTTGGATCCTGGAAACGTGAATCCTGTGGTACAGTATGGCACTCTGCAGTTTCAGCTTAATATTATGTGAACAAGACTATAATTCTGTTTTCTAAACCAATCTAATTCAGAGGAAAAATTTCTCCAGGGCTTTGCATATGTGTGCACGTATGTGAAGATATTTTGCTTAGACCACAATGCACCCTGACCCAAAATGTGGTTTAGAAGAAAAAAAAAACCTGAATATGTAAGTCTGGAGAATGACAGAAAAGTGGGGTTCTTTTGTCTCAATCTGGATTGTTTTTAATACCCTGCAGCAGTACCACCCTGGAGGAAGAGGTAGCTGCTTCTATATACTGTTTAAAAGAGGAAAGAAGGGAGAAGCTTTCCTTCATTCCTCCTCAGTCACTGTGCTTCAACACAAGAGAAACACGGATTTACTTTTTGTTCTGTAAGCAGTCTAGGTGCTCAACTCAAAGGGAGCAAATCTGTTTTGGGCTTTGAATCCCCAGAATGAACCCAGGTGGTCCCCTGGTAGTATTCATAGCAAGCAAAAAGAAGAAAATGTGTAGTTCCACTTATTCCATGATCAGGGTGATTGTGCTCCTCACAGCATGCGTTTGCATAAGAACTAAGGGGTTTGGATGTGTTAAATTAATGTTTAAAAGAAAAATAATGGTCTCCGCTCTGACTTTGTTTCTCTCAACCAGGTTCATGTAACTCACTTTGTCAGCAATACATGTAAGGCACCTTGTCACTGATGTTAACATCACTGGCCTATAACTGCATCTCAGAAAAACCTGAATTGAACAAAATATGGCTTTTGTGGCCCATATAAACTAGCCTCTGATCTTATATGAAGTAGCACTGAATCTGCTTTTTATACACAGAGGTACAACACATGAATTAACAGAAATTTGTGGAAAGTATTATGTAAAAGGATGATCATTCTTTGTTCTATTTTCGGCTGGTATGATGGTGTCACTTCCTCTCAAAGGAGACTGTCAAGTAGGCTGGTTTTGTTTATACAGGGTTTTAAAATATTTTCATAATACGAAGCAGCTGCTTAAAAAGTTAATGAGAAATACCTTCCTTCCCACTGCTTTTCTCGTTGGCCTTTCAGGAAATTTCTATAGCTTCATTGCTGTCTAGACTGTAAGATCTATAGAACAAGCAGCAGCACCACCCTTCCTGTAGGAGCAAAATACAGTGAAAGGATGCAGCAGTCTGGTGGGTTTTCATGCTGGTGTAGCCACTCCTTCCCCAAAATGTGGTAGCCATGTGCTAAGAGGGATCCCAGCTAATGTGATGTACAACAAGGGGGCAGAGTGCACACTACAGGGACAAGACTGCTCCTGTCAGTGGCACTGCTACAGGTATTGCTGCTTAGCCTTGTCAATGTATTTTTGTCTCTATACAATAGGAGAAAATAAATTTTAAAAATATGAAGGAATTCAGACCCTTCATCCATTCTGTTTCAGTCATTGTAAAATGCCTGGAGTAGGTCTTCATCAATTTAAAAATAAATAACTGGGGTTTAACATAGAGTGGGTTTGGTTGTGGTATTTTTTGACTAGAAAGGAATTAATTCAAACACTAAAGTGCAGTCTAAAATACCTGTCTGAAAATTGCATCTTTAGCACACTGACACGATGTTTTACTACACAGACTAGACTGGCACAAAGTCTGGATATATAGTCCCAATAAAATTAATCTTTCTATTTGAAACTTGAAAGAGGGAAATATTCCTCTGTTCTTGTGGTTTTGTGTCCTTACAAATATACACAGTCTTAGGTACGGTATAAATATACACAGTCAGTTTTATTGTAAAATAATTGCCACACTTTTTTCACTGGTAGAACACTTTCACCAAGAAGGGTTATTAAATAAATACTACAAGCAAACAAACATCTGGTGTCTTCCTACCCAGAACAATTGACTCGAGAGCTCCTGACTACCCACTCAGACAACACAGGCTAAAACTCCTCTATATTGGTTTATGAAAGCAGAACACCTATCCAGAGTGTTTTCTTCATTTCTCCTCTTGAAGAAAATTCATTCCGCAGCGTACCGAGAAGGAAACATCTCATGCTTATGGTAGCCAGAAAGCAACACTGCACTTGACTGCAAGCAAACTGGGTGGTGACCGGTCACCCCACTGGTGATGTGCCTGCCTGTACATTTCCAGGGTTCTGCTCTGCGCACAGTGAGATGTGGGTAAAAGCGGAGTGGTCGTAACGCACTCTGCGGTGGGTTTGTTGGGAAGTCTAGTGTCTGCACAGCACAATTTCCAGAGGTTTCTTAAGATCAGAAGTCTAGCAGCTACCTAAAATAAATTATTTGTTCTATGGTGCATATGGTGGAGGCTTCTCTCCAGGCAAGAAGTAAGTCGGTGTATAGAGGGCTGGAGCATTGGGGGGAAGACCATAGCTGGAGCTGGACTGAGATGGAGGCTGAGTTTCTTCTGATAAGGAAATGTCAGTAGATGATGTTCCTGGAAAATTGCTGGCAGGCTGTATACAGATAAAGAAAAATACCTTCTTCAGTAAAAGATTACAACCCCATTTGCAGCTCTGTGTTGTTTGCCATGTAAGTGTTCTATAATAAGTCCCACGATTAAGTTTCCCATGCACTGCAGCACAACACTCACTTTAGTTTTAAAGCACCTGCTTAAGTATAGCAATGATGGTATCCTGTGAAACAAGACAGATTCCATCTGTAACCCAAGTCATTTTTAATAGACATTACACAGACAGCTATGCAATGGAACAGAACAGGAATTCTGCAGGAAAAGATGCTCTGGCTTCCTGGCTGATGTGCTGCACCTGACTGGCTGGTTAGGTTATGTGTAGCTGCTCATTTCCAGGCATCACTGTGTAATTTAAATTCTCTCAGATGTAATGGATCTCAGTTATAATACTTGCATAAATGTCAGGTCTTACTCCTGTGCCAAATGCAGAGAAAATTTTACAGGTAGGCATGTGTCTCCCTGTAAGTCCTTCACTTTGACTGTCTCAGCTATAATGGGGCTTTGGCTTAAAGAGGCATGAAAAATAGAGTGGCCTTAGGAAGCAGCCCATGTTCAGGAACAAGCAGAGTTTGTTAAAATAAAAGAATGCATATAGAGACTAATGTTCTGGATCAAATCCCACCACTGCTTTAAACCAGGTTTTGTCCCTGATTTCAAGAGAATCAGGATTTCACCCCTCCCCTCATATGCCAGCACATGCCAGTCCATGGGCTTCATCAGAAGAGTTGTGCTCAGCTCCCCTCAGGTTAAGGCCTAAAGAGCCTGGAATTTAAAAAATAAAACAAAACAAAAAATAGTAATCATGGATTTGTTTCAAGGGAAATGAAAATCCAGGTGAGTAAACGCTGCTCCCTGCTGCTAAGAAAATTAATAGTCACCATCTAGAAGGCCAGTACCAGGGCTGGCACTTGCATTGCAGAGCTGCCCAGGGCTGGGCAGATCCCACGCCACAGTGCCTGGCTTCTCCAGGGGCTCCTGCTCTGGGTCAAAACCCCATGGCAAGGAGAATGCTGTCCTGCATTTGCACCTCAGGGTGACTTAGTAAGTGAGAATGGGGACGACCTGACAGGAAGGTTGATTAACTCTCCAGGAGGCAGTGCAGGTATACTGACAGACCTGCTAGCTAGATCAGCTCCAAACTTAGTTGTTGTGGTTTTGGGTGGTTTGTGGGTTTTTTATTTTGGAGTTGTTGCCTCCTTCCCCCCTCAAACTGCAGCCTCCATTTCCATCTGTTTGCCAGGAATTGCTTCTGTAATGAGTTATCCTCTGGCAGGAATGATTGGCACAACTCTTACTGCTGTCATCACCACCAGACCCTGCACAGCTAATCATTTACCTGACCAGTTGGCAGGCTTGTTATCAAGACTAGTTGTGACTGAACTGCACATGCCACAGTAAACAAAAGAAATGCTAGTTACAATCCTTGTCAAAATGCATTCCTGTTATCACCCTTTCTTTTTTATATTTGGCTGATTTTTGGTTGTGGACAAGGAAGTATGAGGTGTACTGAGGAGGATTTACCATCAGCTCAAGTTGTGACTTTTTAAAGACTTTGTTTGCCACTCCAGCAAGCATTTTTTCAGTGAGATACTGGATTCAGCAGGGGCCTAGAAATAAATCTGCTCAGTGGTGGGAGCCACAGGTGAACTCAGGTTAGTATACTTTGAGCTAATGGAGCTCCAGTCCATGTGAGTGGGGGCAGCACTTAGTCTAGGCATGTCGCATGCCAGACTAACCTAAGGTGGGATGTGTTCCCAGAAGGAGAAACTATGGCTGAGGATTTCCTCTGGTTGAGGTGAGAGTTCAAAATGGAGTTATTAGTTCATAATTGATTGCTAACTGCTTTACTTCATTGACTGGCATCAATCCACTTTTGTTTCCCCCTAACTCTTAGCTAAAGAAGGTTTTGCTCCTTTTGTTGTATTGAAGCACCACATGTGTGACCATTCCCCAACTGGAGGCAGGTGCAGGACAATGTCAATTCAAGGGGCTTAGGAACAGCATTTAGCCAAGCTTTGGTGAGCCAAATGGAATGCTAAGAAGAGAGGTGTGTCCTGGGGATCTTGGTCTCTGTGGAAGCAAAATATTATGCTTTTTGAGATGGCCAAGGGCACCCTCTGCTCCAGAAATATGTGTTAGTCTCATGTAGATCTTGGCTTACATCGGCCAGCCCTGTATGCCTGTCTTGCAAACATCAGGCCATCTCAGACACCATATCTTTAGGCAGCTGAACTTCAACCCTAGGATACAAGGTTCAGCCTCAGTTGAAATCTCACAACACAAGTATCTAAGCACAAGGCACAGTGACATGTGGAAACTGAATCACACCCCTAGTCAATAGAAAGGCCTTTAGGGTGCATTCACAGCATTTACATCATAAATCTTTAGCCTGAGCTAATCCACATGTGGCGTTCTCTGTGGACTCTAAAGGGTAGGCCAGCTCAGGCAGGGTCTTCTACACTATGGATAGCTACAGCTCAATTCAGTTAGTTGCTGACATATAAGCATCCAGCCCTTTTGGGATGCCATGGGATATCCCAGACATCCACACAGATGTGACACAAGGACTACAGGACCCAAGCCCTCCTGGAGTGACAGCAGGGGCCAGGTGGCTACCTGATCTCATTATCAAGCAGCTCTAGATTCCTACATGCCAACAGCCCCTGCGTTTAGACCCAGGGCCTGTAATTGCCTTAAGAACTAGGACCAGCTAAGCAAGGCTTGTGAAGGCCTGAATCCAGCAGCTGGAGACTGCTTGGAGCACTCAGATGGGTCATGAAGACCTCCAGCCCTATGAATTCAGCCCACAGCCCTCAAATAATGGAAGCAGATGACAGTTAAGCTTCAATCTGTTACTGATCAGGCCTTCTTGTAACATTCACCATTTGTAGCTTTGAGCAAGTTTATTATGATTCTTAACTCATACACTGATGCAGAAATTACTTCTCTCCAAACTACAACATAATGAGCTCATACATGCAGGAAGGCAGCCTTTTTTGCCTTTTTTTTTTTTTTTTTTTTTTTTTTTTTTTTTTTTTTTTCTCCAGGAAAAGGATTAAGCGCTTTCCCTTTTGGAGCCCAGTGCTTCTTGCTAACTTCTACTGGCTTGGGGACAGCTGGTGATGTCTGCCTCTGAATATTATGGAGAGAGAATACAAATTAACACACTTAGAAAAATTAGAAATCTAGGAAAAAAAAAACTGTATTTGTTTTGGAATGAAGTTAAGAATTTGGGGTAAATATGATGTATTTGTTTCTCACTGGACACAGGACTGAACAGTTACAATTGATCCTCTGACTATTTACATGCATCTTTTTAGCTGAAATGCTTTTTCATCTGTTTTTATCCCCTTCTCTCCCTGCTCTTGGCTACGTGCTAACTAAATTCTGCAGAACAGCACAGCTTTTCAGCTAAAAGCAAACAAAAAGAGATGTTCTTTTTTCCCCTCTCAGCCCATGGTCACAGAAAGTGCCTGGCCCCATTTATGTTAATATGTGTGCCAAGGACTGTTCTCTGGCTGTGAAGCCAACTGGCACAGCATATATCACATCCCTACCACTGAACTCTTACCACCAAACTAGTGTGAGTGTCAGGAAGCACCCTACCTGCTGGAAACAGTCCACTGCCCTGGCTTCTGACCCCTTCCTGGGTGTTGCTGGGAGACTGTTAAGTGGTCTGGGCCAAACCCATACCAGGAGCATGCTAACAATTCACTGGTGTGGATGATCATCATGTCCCAGTACTTGTGCCTGGTACCTTACTGGTCCTGAACAGATGTAGCCCAGGAGGCTCTGGGGAGCTGGTCCACAGCTAGTTCATGCTAAACATGCATGTTTTCAATTAAATATATATTATAGTATTGCAAAACTTGTGGTACCCACTGGTCTAACACTACACAGCCAAAGTATAGCAAGCCATTGGACAGAACAAAGTAGTCTTTACTGTGCTTTAAAAAAAATTAAAAACTCCTATGATTGCTCCAAGGGTCTCAGTACATTGTTATTTACCAGCTCACCCTATGTTCTTCATCTCACTCTAGGGCAAAAAAAAAACCAAACCAAACAATCACCACCCTCAGCACCACTCCCTGCATTTTCCAGGCCAGCTCTAGCTGGATGCAGCACAAGCTTGGATCATGACTTGCACCTCATCCTTCTGAAGAAGGCAAAGCAGCATTGACTCAGCTCATACTGTATCCCTCCCTCCTGCAAGTGAAGAAAGCTGCACCTCCATCAGCTTTCTCTCCCACCTTCAGGCCAGCTGCCTCTGGCCAGTAAAGCTCATCAACCTCCACCAACTGCCATAGCATCTCTGTACCTGTCTCCCAGTGGTGGCCTGTATGCTTACAGGAAGCTGAAAGAAAAAGGGCTTCATCTTCTAGTGAGCCCCTGTTTGTTCTTATGGCAGGTGGCCATTTGGGAACCTGCTGGGCTTATAGTGACATCCCTGTATTCAACAGCAGCTGATGTTCCTAAGCCCTCATTTATACTCTTCTACAACATCCTGTGGCATATGAATCTTCTCTGGTGTGTCTTATCTTGCTACCTAATAGTTTTACTGGGGCAACCAAAATTCTGAAGTTATCACAAATATCCATCCACAATCCTTTCCATATCACTCAGTTTCACAGACCTGTTAACTGCCTCTCCTTTCTTGCATCCTTTCCATCTGATGAGTCCTCATCTACTTATCTCCATATTAAGAGTAAGGTGGGCTAAGGTGTGTAAACTTTTCTGCCAAATCCTATGCGTATCAGATGCTTCCTTTGGCTTCCCCAGTGCCTCTGCTGTGGCTTTATCTTGCCCAAAATGGGAGATGTGTTCACCTTTGTGACAACTGTGGCACAGCTGTAATCCCACACTGGGATTCCTGGTCAGCAGACAGAGACCAAAGGACAACCAGAGAAAGGCTGAGACCCAAGAACAGACCTGAGAACTAGGTCCAGACTAAGTCATCCCAGGGACTAGTCTGTGAGTTGGGATCCAACTTCACTGCCTCATTTCAACCCCCCAGGAGCCAAGATCTACCACTGCAGAGTTTGTACTGAGTAGCAGTTTATGCTTTTCTGATGGAGTATGAAGGGTGCCATTTCATACTGTACCTGAAGAGGTAATGGGTAGGATGGATAGGTAGAAATAGTTGCTGCAGAAGGACAGAACCCAGCGTATGTCAGGATCTGCTGGGCAGGATTGTACAGGATCTGAGGAGGAGGTGCAGCACTGAAAGCAATTTGTGTCAGAGGTACCTGTTGAGCACAAAAGACAACAATATATCAGCACAGCGCAGAGGGGACTGGAGCAGAAACTGGCCCTAACACAATCAACTATGCAATTTAACAACTTCCTGTTTTCCAACACAATACTGATACTACATAAAAAACAGACAGAATGAGAGGAGGGTGTATCTGGAGTGAATTTTCTGACCAGAAGTACACAGCTACTTTAGCCTTCTTCCCTGGGAAGAAGACTGCGGATGCTTCCCTAGCACCAGTTACAGAAGCACTGGCAGGTCTCCAGACCTGAGACACCCTGACGAGCACAGCATATAGCCTTGACCCCCTCTTTTTACTCACTCTAGCACCCAACACCCAGTTCTTCACAATTTGCTGCAGACTCTTTCCAACAACAACTAACTGATGGCCTCATGCCTTTTCTCTCTGTTTTCCCACATACAAATTTCTCCCTGTGCAGACCACTCACTATTCTTTCACAGTTCCCTCTCACCTGTGAAATGTAGTTTGCTGCTGGCTGTACAATACCATCCCCTACATGCATATCTCATTCCTACTGCATAAAATCCTTCATCATATCCTGTGGCTTTATTGGCATGTTCCTTAACTGCAATGTGAGATGAGGTTTGCAGGAAGAAGTAATAGTTCATATTAAGCCAGCTAATACAATTGGAGAGACAAAAAGACACCAATACAAAAGCTAAATGTGAAAGGGTGCTTGTATTAAATCCCAAAATACTCTGCTGTTTAACCATTTGTGAAGGACAGCAGAGTTCTTTGAAAGATTTAAGTCCCTCTGCTCTGCAAAGTGAGACAAATCCAGTGGTTTCTTTTCTCATTGTTTTTATTAGCAGATTCCTCTATATGAGAGCACGGAATTTTCTTTTCACTGAAATAATAAAATACAGTGGTTGCCAGACAAATGTTGAAAGAAGCAGCCAGGATTTTTTTTCTTTGGCATTTCCTTTCAGATTTATCAGTGAGAGGCATAAACCAGACTGCATCCTCTGGAGACAGTATGAGATCTCTCTGTGATTGAGAAAGAGGTATATTGATTGTGTTTGTACATGGAAAACATTGTCTAAGTCACTGATGTATGACATGAGGTTACCTGACAATCTAGGCCTTTGCTCTCTGGAGAAACTTAGCACCCCAGGAGCTGGCGCAGAGGAAGTTTGGGCGCAAAAGCAGAGAGCCCATTTCATAGGGGACAACACATCTTTCACATTCAAGACACTCTTCTCAGAACACCTCCTTCCTGCTGGCCCTGCTGAGTGGTTATGGTGGGGAAAAATGGCAAGATGCTACCTTTCAGACAGGAGTAACGAGAAGCAGCTAACCAGCTTGCCTCCGATGCAATGGTTTGGGGCCACGGAGTGCGCCCTTCCTCACAGGAGGGAGGCCCTGGTGCGATCAGACCCTACTGGCTGTGGATGTAAATGCAGCAAGAAACACTTGTTTTGCCCAACAGATGCCTGTTCTGCATCTGTCACCAACTTTCTGGTGTAGGTCCCTTTGGGTGCTGCTGTCCTTCTCCCAGGAATCTAGAATCATAGAACAGTTTGGGTTGGAAGGACCTTAAATACTGTCTAGTTCCAACCCCCCTACTATGGGCAGAGACACTTTCTTTTAGATCAGACTGCTCAAAGCCCCATCCAACCCTCTCAGCTCTCTCTGTTTTGCCAGTTATTAGGCTTAGCACAAAGGACACAGCCAGCATAAAGATGAACCAATAACCAAATTGTATTTGACACAAAAGGGTCAGTACATGGGTGAGCACTGGGGGTACAAACAAGTCAGATTATACATAATCAACATCAATCCCACTGACCCCAACAAAGACACCACATGACTAACAATGGGTGGAATAAATGGTGACATGCAGTCTCTCATAGAAGGGATGGGAAACAACTGAGTCAACCAGCCAAATACATAAAACTAAGGAAGTCACATACTGAATCTCTACACAGCCCACATTTACAAAAGCCAGACCTGACTAGAGCCCAGTTCCAGGGAGGCAGGAGGTCCTTCCCCAACAGGGAACTCTGCAAAGTGCATCCACCTCACAGACAGACACTGCCCCTGCCTGCAAGGGGTCCCAGCTTGTATCCCTAAGTGGGACACCTGACCTTTACTTACTTAATGTGGGACACCTGGGGCTCACTCACCCAATGGCTCTGTCTGCCAGGCTGGCCACACCCTGGAGGGAAGCCCAAAGGCAAACTCACCCCCACTTTGTGAAGGGCTGTGGGAATCACCCCTATGTCAACCTTAATTTGGGGCTTGGGGTTGAAACCCCAGCATTTTATCATCTGTAGCAGCAAGGCTCTCCAGTTGCTAAGACTGAACATCAAAACAGTTCTAGAAGAGAGTTTTGAGGAGTTATCTACTCCAAATCCACTCATCAAAGTACCTTATTATCAGGCTATCTGATCTCAGCCTGGAGCCAGCAACGATTTGCGGGTACAGAAACTGGTTAAATGCTTTTATCAAGTATTCCAGTAATGACACTATGTTAAATTAGTCACATAAAATAGGTGGGTGGAGGCGTTTTAAACTGAAACACCACCCAAGCCAAAGAGATAAGAAACTGTGAACTGGTCAGGGTGTGCTGCCAGTGCCATGCTGGCACCTTGGGTCAGGGAGCGTGGGGAAAGCCGGTGGTGGCTGGAGGGGCTCTTTGGCTGCCCCTCACCTGGCTACACAAGCTGCTGCTGGCTGTGTGCTGGGCCATGTGGCTGCAGAGCAAGGCAGGACAGCTCATGGATCTGATACAGACCTGCCAAAGCATTTATTTCTGAGCTACGACTACTTTTAATGTCACACTTTACCTTTAGTAGCACAAGTGCTAAGACATGAATGAATGCATGATAAGTAGCTCAGTAATTAGGGGTTCATTTTCTTTTCCTATTTAGAGCAGGGTGAGGGAAGAGGAGAGGGCATAAGGGAATGTTATTTAATCTGTTCAGATTCTCTTGAGGACTCCAAGGAGACTAACTGAAAAAAAAAAAAAAAAAAAAGTCAACTCCCCCCAGGACCATCAGTGATTCTGATTAATGCAAGGCTAAACTCAGGGCAGGCGGATTCCTTGGCAAGGTGTGTCAGGAAAACATCTACAAGTCATCAGATGAATACAGGGCAGGGAAGATTGTTTCTAGATCAGCTTTTAATACCAGCAAGTAAAGTTTTCCATGCATTGTCTTCTCTAAGAAATAATCACAGCGTTTTATCATTTTGGATACTCCAAATACATACATTATATAATTTATATTAAGATATAATTTACATTATATCTTAATCTGCTTTTTGTTAAAGGTGACTTAAGGTAACTGCCTAGCTGACATCCTATAACCAAGTACACTGTAGATCTGAAAAGCAGGGTACTGTCATAACCACTGCAGCTTCCCCAGCACCCAGTAGATCACAGAGGATGGCCCCATGGGTGATACAGAGGCCACTGAGAGCTGACACCTTGGTGGTCAGGAGAGGATGAAATATTTCCCACTGAGCCAGCAAGGCCATCTGGCAGGCAGCAAAACCACAGGGAGTACGACAGGGTCTGCAAGGAATTTGTCACAAGAAAATCCACAAAAACCAAAACAACACTTCTTTTTTTCTGTCCAGGAAATGTCATGGGTTTAGAGGCAAGGGCACTGTTTTGCAGACTCTCCCCTTTGCAACATGTTTTGGCTGCCGACACTCTCCAGAGATAAGCATGATTTTTTTTGTTTGACTAGTCAGCCTGGCCCAGTGTTTTCTGGAAGTCAACCTCAGAGCAATGCCCTGAGGCGATTCAGCTCTCCCTGCAAAATGCCAGTGAACATTTCTGTGGGAAGGTGACATCCCGAAAGAAAGAAAATTGTTCTCCCACTGATTTTGAAGTTTTTCCTTAATTCAGCCCAATGCCCCTTTCTGTCTCTCTTCTGCTTGATGTTTTCTTGGCCCCTGTCTTCCCCCAAGACCCCTTTTGTAACGAAAGTGAGCAGCAGATTAGCAAACCAGGTCTGGTGTGTCACTCAAAAGGACCCTGAAAAAGCACAGGCAGAAGCGAGGAGGTGGTCATTGCATTTTGGATTGCTGCTTTAGTAACACTTTCACAAGCATAGCATGGCTCCTTTGCTGAGGTAACTGACACAAACTCATCTTTCCCTTAAGCTAGTGAGGTGGGTTTTTTCCACTCCACTGCAGAGAAAACATGAAAGAGCTTATTCAGATCAGGTTTTTAGCTGGAGCCCAGACGGACTTGCTCCAGCCAAGCCTGAGGAGAAGCTGCATGTCCACTGCTGCTGCGATTTCCTAGCGTGGCTTTATGCTAACCAGTCAGAGGACCCAGACCTTGATGCAGGTTCTGCCTCCCAGAAAGGGAAAGAGACAGGTCATGGAGACCCCAATTCTCCCAGGAGCATCTCCTTGGCTGTCCCTTGTGAACAGTGCAGCGGTGGGCCCTGTGCAGCACAGAGGTGTGCCTGGGCTGGAGCTCACCCTGCTATGAAACATCAGCCCAAATCCTATGTAAGCCTCAGTTTGTGCAAGATGACTAGGTGGACTCTTAGGCTGGTTCTCTGTACCCTTCCTCATTTTAGGGGAGAACTAGCAACTCCCACAGCTGCCGATGGTGGAGGCTCTTGCACCCATCCCCTGGGGGAAATACTTAGCAGCACTGGAAAGCTGCAGTGCTCTACCAAGGATTTACTGTAGATGATGTCTGCTTTCCCATCCTCATATAGGCACTCTTTCCCTTGTTTCCCACTGTAGCTGTTTCTGCTATCATTCTGCCACTGCTTCTCTCACAGGGAGGGGAGGAATTAAGCTGGGAAAGCTACTTCCACTCTCTCCTGTCTGGCAGCCGCAACTTTTTACTGGCTGGCTGCAATTTGTTGTGAACTCCTTGCAAGAGTCCCCTCATAAAGGACAGCTCAGCTGCACACTTCTTAAATGTGAAGGCTCAGTGGGCTTGTTTGCCTTAAGCTAGAGAGAGGAATATTTCCAGCAAACATTTTGCAACTCTTAATAAAGGTGAATTTCAAATATTTCGTATGACTCTGCTCTGTCACATGGTTTTAAGCACCCAACACATGTTATAGAGAGCCTGGACATGCTTGCTAAGAGATGCTGGGTGGTCAGAGCAGAGCTTGTATAGCCTCCAGTCTGACTGGGTCCTTGCTCACTGGCTGTGAGCAGCCCCTTCCCTCTAGTCTGCCCACCTGTCTCTCTTGCTTTCTCTTCCCTGCTCCATCCCTCTCTTCCTTTCACCCGTCTTTCTATTTAGTTTTCTCCTCTGGAATAGTCACCAGAAACATCTTGTACCTAAGATCACCCGTGCTGCTATCACACCTCCTTTCAGCTCCTGCATTTCACCTCCATCCTCATGCCTCTGCCCATTTAGTTTGGAAGCTCTTGGGGCCGGGACCATCTACTCTTCTGAGCCACTTGGTTGGTCTTTAGGCACCACAAATAGGACCACTGTCAGTGATAATTCCAGGAACAGCTACTTCACCCTTTTAACATGTCAGAAAATGTAGGCAGATGAGGCACTGTGTTAAAGAATCCCTCCTAGCACACAGCCTCTTCTGAACGTAGTGGTGCACATCAGCACAACATGGTGGTGTGGCACAGGGAGCAGCTAGAGGGTAGCATTCCTTAGTGAAACAAAAGAGGAATTTCATGTGACCTGAGTACAACTGTTTACAGAAAAACTTGACTGGTACTTCAGAGTTAATCCCCATTCTTTGGAAAAGAACTACATACGGTTAAATAGTCACACCTAGGACTTGAGTTTTACACCTTAGCTTCAAACTAGCATCCTGGAACTCTGTGCTGGCCCCCATGTTCAGTGTTAAATTAGGAGAAAAAAAAAAAAAAAGATGCCACTAAGTGAATTGCCAACATCTGTTCACACAGAAACCTGTTTTTTTCCCTTCCATTAATGTATTTCACCAGGCTTGACCTACTTAGCTGTGAGCAGCTGGCAACAGCTTAGCCCAAAGAGATGACTCCAGACTCCCAGATCACACAGGAAACATGTTTAACATGTGCCTTCTTCATACACTTATATGCTTCCCTGGTTTTAACTCACCTGGTAACATCAACAAGCACAGAAATCTTCACAGAAGGCAAAAGACTGAGCCTTACCATGTCTTTGAATGCCCCTAGAATGGCTGCCGTAATAATCCCCAGAAACAACCCGATGATGTTGAGGACTGTGGAAGACCACAGCAGCCTATACAGGTGAACCACATCCTGACAGCTGCTCACGCCATGAAATTCATAGTAGCTGGCAGACTGCTCTGAACTGAAAGGGAATGCAGACAACGTCACTGCTGTGGGAATGGTTTTGCACATAATACAGATCACCAGATGATTTTAAATCCCTCTTGATTACTTTCCTCTTTGGCAAAATAATTCATCCATGTTTCCACCAAATGCTGCTCAGGTGAACTGGAGAACACTCTACCATAGACAGAAAATGGCTCTGCTAATGGCAGCATTAAACTTGTGGTCCAACTAATATCAACTCTAGTTTGGCTGATCGATGTTGTGCACCAGCAGGGACTCTTTTTTTTTTTTTTTTTTTTTCCTGAGGGTCTCTGAACCCAGGCACAGTCCTGGCATATGGATGCTGCATTGCCAGCTAAAGCATGCTTAGCACTGCTTTTTTTCCCAGCTCACCTGGAAATCTGCTGGCATCTCTAGCACTGGGGAAGACAAGTTGCTTAAGCATTAATTCAACCACAGGAAGAGAGATTTTGCCAGCTGGCTACATTTGTTTATGGTGTCTGTGGTTCCAAATTAACAGATGCAACAGTATAAAGTGTGCCTTTAAACTATGCATTGTACTATCCAGAATTTTTTTTTTTTTTATATTTCTACACTGCACTGGTTATTGTAAATCAGGCATGTTGTGAAATCAATCGTCATTGTCTTGCCGAAAGTCAGAAATATCCCACTGCAAAATTTGAAACCACAGTTTCCTGCAGTTCTTTCCAGTACCTGTCTTAATGCCCACTAATGAGCTCCTAAAGCATCTATTTAAGTTTGAAAGAGGTTTTAAATGCCATCTGATTTTGCACTGTTATGAAATTGCCATCAGGTTATGGTGGAAACTGGAAGCGAGCAGTGTTCACTTTGCTATTCCTCCAGCTGCAGCACATAGGGCAGCAGTGGGGATGGTGGTTAGGGAAGGGTCTGCAGGGGAGGGGAGGGGAAGGGAAGGGAAGGGAAGGGAAGGGAAGGGAAGGGAAG